GTAAGAATATAGAATAGATATACTTTACAAAAGCTTTCTTACTTGCTTTTAATACCATATTCAAATTACCACAGTAAGAGCAAATAACAGATCTACTTTACAAAAGCCTTCTTACTTGCTTTTAATACCATATTCAATCTGAATACAAATAGGCATATGTTTTTAAACAATATTATTTACAAAAGAGAAACAGTATTAATTTTCATTTAATTTTATAAAATAAAATTAACAGTATAAAGAATTTAATGCAGACTTATTCAAATCAATTTAATTCTTTTATTTTAATACCCATAAATACCATTTTAAAATAATCATTTAAATGCGCATAATAACGAACTTTTACAAAGCCCCACTAAGCAACATTAGTGCGGCCAAGCTTTTACTAATGTGAATATGCTTGGCAGCACAAAAATTGGATGTTATCTACCCCAAATTGGATTCTTTTTTAAATATTGATTTGCATGTACACATTTTTTATTTTTGGTGTGCTAGAAAACTGTTTATTAAAAAAATTAATATTTTATAAATAAATAAATATATTATAAAACAAAAATTAACACCAAAATGTCGGAAGTTGCTTCGAATACAAATGCTAACGAAAAGATGACAGCTTTATTAAAAGAAGCTGAAAACTTGAAAACTAAATTGGAGGAAGAGCGCCAGAAATTAAATGATGTTAGCATGTCTAGCATAGCTGAACGCTTGGAACAAATTGCTTTCGTAAATATCAAGCCACGCAAAGTGCTTAAAGGACATCAAAATAAGGTGCTTTGCACTGATTGGAGCCCTGACAAACGGCATATTGTATCATCTTCACAAGATGGCCGCCTAATAATTTGGGATGCATTTACTACTAATAAAGAACACGCGGTTACAATGCCTACAACATGGATAATGGCATGTGCATATGCGCCTTCAGGAAATTATGTTGCTTGCGGTGGTTTAGATAATAAAGTAACTGTATATCCTATTACTAATGATGAAGAGATGGCAGCCAAAAAACGTACCGTTGGCACACATACCAGTTACATGTCTTGTTGCATATATCCAAATTCAGATCAACAAATTTTAACTGGAAGTGGTGATTCTACTTGTGCACTTTGGGACGTTGAGTCTGGACAACTTTTACAAAGCTTTCATGGTCATTCGGGTGATGTGATGGCTATTGATTTGGCTCCTAATGAGACCGGTAACACATTTGTATCCGGTAGTTGTGATCGTATGGCATTTATATGGGATATGCGTTCAGGACATGTAGTACAATCATTTGAGGGACATCAATCTGATGTAAATAGCGTTAAGTTTCATCCATGCGGTGATGCCATTGCAACTGGATCTGATGATAGCAGCTGTCGCTTATTTGATATACGTGCTGATCGTGAAGTTGCTGTATTTTCTAAAGAAAGCATCATTTTCGGAGTTAACTCGGTTGACTTCTCAGTGAGTGGACGATTGTTGTTTGCTGGATATAATGATTACACAGTTAACTTATGGGACACGCTTAAATCGGAGAGAGTATGCTTGCTATATGGACATGAGAACAAAGTGTCATGTGTACAGGTATCACCTGATGGCACAGCACTTTCTACTGGCAGTTGGGACTACACTATACGTGTTTGGGCTTAAATCAAATTATCAATTATGAATTGATGTGATGTTAAATGTTTATAAGATTATATATTAGAAAAAAAGTATTATTGTTATAATGTGTAATTTGATTTGTTGCCATATATTTTTTGTGCCATTAAAGTAAATATATTTTATTAGTTTAGTCATTAAATATTATTGAATTGTATGAATATTGCCTATTAAATTGAAATATGCTTATGTGGTTATTAACTAAAGAATTTATATATATTTTATTTTCGAATTAATTTTAAAAATACTGCTTAAAAATAAATGTTAGAAGAAAACTTGAATAAATAAATTTAAGATATTGCAAAAATTATATTAAATATTATGTATGAAATTAATTTTGTTTTGATTACTAAATATTTTCATTAAGTGTTTTATAAAACACTAATAATAATCGGTATACTTATTTCACACGATGCCTTCTCATATGTCCTGCCAAACCCGCAGCTTGTGCAAAATATTTATTACACACGGTGCAACTATATTTCTTGTTCTCCAGATGTAGAGGTTTGTGATGGTATAAGGTACGGGAGCATAAAAAAGCTGCACCACAAATTTCGCACTTATGATTGCGCACTCTTGTGTTGGAATGGACTCGCTTGTGTTCAGTCAATTGATGGATTGTTGTAAAGCGTTTGTCACAACGTTCGCAGCCATACTTCTGTACTTCACTGTTATGTATACGTTTATGTACCGTAAAATTACAACTGATGCACGTCTGATAGCCACAAACCTCACATAACAATTTATTAGCCACTCTATGTGCGCCTTTTTTCTTAGCAATTCGTGCACTTTTCAAATCACTACAGTTGTTATCAGTAACAAGATTGAAATGATCATCCGTTACACTATGACAATGTCTGATATGGCTCGTTAATGTTGCTCTGTTTGCTAACAACTTATTGCACAGCTCACACTTATAGGTATTCACTCCGGTATGATACTTCCTCATATGAGTTTCGTAGGTGCACAATTTCTTGAAACGTTTCTTGCAAATTAAACAATCATAAGTATCAGCGAAAGGGAAACTCTCCTTATGTGAAATAATCAGTAAAATTAAATTAAAACTTTTGTACTTAACACTCTTACCTCCTCCCGCTCAGTAGCCATGGATGTTGCAAAACATTAGGAAATAGAACTCATAATTTATCGTACCAATTTGATCGAAACCAATTAACTGTGGTGCTGCTGATTTTTATTGGTCTCAGCATAGCCTGTTTGTTTTAAATCATGCAAAGAGACTATGCTAAATATAATTATAGCATCTAATTAATTAAACTAAAACAATTAATAGTTGTCAAAGCTAAATATAAAATACAATTGTGCATAAAAGCGCCAGAGTGCAATCCACGCCAAGCAAATTTTGAATGCTTTGAATTGCCAAAGAAATTTATCAAAGCAATTTAAATAAATTTACGAATTAATTTCTCTTCTTTGAATGGAGCAAGTAATTTCGTGAATGAATAATTGCAAAATCCGAACGAAAGATATTTGCAGAGAAAAGTAATTTCAAAAGATAAAGACAGATATGACCAGATGGATTTATTATATATATATATATATATATATATGTTCGTTTTCTTATCACCGACGCCTCTCTTAGTATAGAATAAAATACAACATATCACATTATAAAAGAGTTCTGGACTCTTAGTGGTACCGCGCACTATGTATATAATACAGATGAGAATTTTATGCTGGTAACTGATCGTAATTGAACAGAACTGGCTTAATGTAGCCTTTCGAATGGAGTTCATATTGTTTGAGATTGCATACTTCTTAATAACAAACGAGAATTAAAGTTTTCGATGAAAGTAACTGATCGTAATTGAACAGAGGAGGCTATATGTAGTCTTTCTAATAACAATTATATTGTTTGTGTTTGAATACTTCTTAATAACCAAGAAGAATTAAAATTTTCGATTCAGTATTCCTAGCCAAGCCTTAGATGAAAATCTTATGCTGATCATAATTGAAGAGAAGACGCTATATGTAGCCTTTCAAGTGAAGGTCAGAATATAAGTGGCTGTGTACTTCTTAATTACAAACGAGGATTGGAGTTTTCGAAACAGTATTCTACGCCTAGCCGAAATTAAAGCTCTACAGTCATAAATAAAATAAGTAGAAGTTTTCTCTCCTCGAAAGCATACTCTTTTTTTGTCAACTCAGACAAACCCATTTTGCTGGGATAAAGGACTAAATCATAATGTTATAAATGTCTTCACTTTCATTAAACCGTGTAAATTATACATTTATTATATAAATAAAAAGTATAACCAAAAAAAGAAAAAGATGGGACAGTTTTATGGATTCATAGGATTAGATCAGTTAGATTAAGAAGAACAATTAAATATTATCGAAGATATAATATTTATTGTATATTTATTGTATATTTATTGTATATGTACAATATCTATTAAAGAAAAAATCAGGAAATAACTAATTTATGTGTAATAAATGAACGTTTAGTACACGGATATACCCTAAGCGTAGTAAGTGCAAAGCAATAAGGAAAAGATCTGAATATGACTTGTTTAAAAATGATTATTATGTTAAGCCTTTCCCGAGTTAGTGGTTCTGGGCACTTTTATTCTTTGATGGCTGGGGGGTTTCTGCAGAGTCCCACCAATCTCACTGACTAATTTGTGTGTTCCTCGTAAGCATTGTGATTATTTAATGACTGATCTAAGATCTGCGTGTCGCCCCGTGCGTTTAGTGATTACTCTGAGATTAGATAATGCTAAGTAGAGCAGCCTGTCAGCTTTCGTATCTAAGGTCTAAGATCTCTTAGCATGTCATTCGTGCAGATGTACCATGGTACCTTGAAGAGTCTTCAGAGAGCCTGAATTTGAGCGACTTGTAGCTTCTGGATTGTAGAATTGGCAGTTTTACTATACGTAACACACACATAAAGTAGTGCTGGTCTAATTATCTGGCTGTAGATCAGTGTTCTGTTCTTCAAGCTAAGGTATTTTTAGTATATAGATACGCGGTAACCATAGAGAGTTCGATGCAATTAGAAAAAATTTGGGAAATTAGAGGAAATTAGTAGTTTTAAGTGAAGAAATGTGAAGCGGGAGTAATGTAGTTAGTTGTTCCAAATTTATTAATAGTATATATAGATTTTTTATAGTCTTCTATAACTCATACATTTTCAATTAAATATCTAGATATTTAAATGTTAAATATATTTAAAAAAAATTTATTACAATATATGTTTAATGTAATACTTAGTATTTTCACTTACAATACGAAACGACAGGGTACTGTAGAAATTTATTCGGACTATTATCATTATTAAGGTATCAAATAATATTGATAATATTGTAACCATTAAGAAAACACAATAATATTTTATTTATTCATTCATTTTACATTATTCTGAAACCATAAACCTTAATTTTATATAAAACTACATGTATAATACTTGTTTATATTTAGAATACACTAGAATAATATTTAGAATAATAGAAAACAACAAAGGTTATACCTCGCCTAACACTATCTATATTTATACTAACTAATAAATTCTTTACATGAGGCTAGTTGGTAGAAAATAGCTATGCTGCTGTTACCCGCTATTTAAATGGATCTATTTTATGTTGTCGCATATGTCCTGATAAGCCAGCTGCTTGCGCATAAGCTTTTCCGCACACCTTACAAACATATTTTTTAATTCCTAAATGCAAATGCTTGTGATGATATAATGATTTTGAAGTTACAAATGTTGCACCACATTCTTGACATTTATGTGGTCTCTCTGAAGAATGTATGGGTTTATGCTCAGTAAGTAACGCCTGCGAAGCAAAACCTTTATTGCATTCTGTACAAATAAATGGTTTCTCTCCAGTATGTGATCGTACGTGCACGACTAAATAATTTTTTTTCTTAGTCCTATAACCACAAGTTTCACAAACAAAATAATAATCTGCTCTATGTACAATACGTTTATGAGCTTGTAAAAGTTTTGGACTGAAATATGATTTGCTACAGTTCTCCACATCACAAGCAAATTTGCGCACATCGCTGTGGTTGTATTTGTGCACATGAAGTCCCGCGCGAGATTTATAAACTTTATCACATTTATCACATGGAAAACCAGTATGTTTTGTTCGTAAATGCTTATTGAGTGCCCGCTCTTGCTGGAATTTTTCGTTGCATTGCGAACATTTGTACAAATTGGAATCGTCATGACAATTTTTAATGTGTTTTTTTAATGTAGTTTTTAATTTGTACGTTTTGTTGCAATAATCACATGTTAACTGGGAGCACTGTGTCTGTTTTGCTGATGCTGTCATGATCTGTGCAATTTAATATATATATTATTCAAATAGACAAATTTAAGTATTTATAATTACATACTTTGGGTATATGGTCTTCATCATTGTACGATGAGGAATAGTTTTCAAACTCACTGTCGTCTTCATCTGTGCGGCTATCGTATTTACTAAGATTAAAGTCATCAGTATTTATATTATCACTATGTATTGTACTATTGTCATATTTTAGTTTATATTTGAGATCATTTACTTCAAAGTTTTGTTGTGCTTTTTCTAATTCATCGGGCAAGTCATTTTGTAAATGCAAGTTTCTAAAGTGCAGTAGAAAATCATCGAAATCAAATGTTTTCATTTCACAACAATTGCAAACAATACTAAAAGTTTCATTTTGCCAAAAAACTTCCGCACATTTTTTGTTTTGGTAATTATGCAAATATTTTGTAGAATCTATTAAAGCAAGCATTGTAAAGTTTGTAAACAAAAACAAACAAATTGTTAAACAGCTGTTTTCAGCTATTATCTTTGTTCAAAACCAAACAGATAAAAAGTGCTACCAACTTCTTTAAAATATTTCCTTAGGTTATAGATGTGGAGTTATACTATGTTCAGGCAGTCATATATCCTAAAATTCGTTGAAATGTTAAATTAAGTTAAATTGGAAAGTGTTCATACTGCTCCAAATCAAGAAAATCATATATTTTTTGTTTATAAATCGAATATTAAAAATTACATGCTTTAAACACCATTTGTATCTACGAAATTTAAATGTTGATTATTATAGCTATTAAAGATGGCAGTAGTTTTATTAACATTAGTGGATTTCAGGTACGTGAATTATTATTTTTCACTCTATTTTAAATTAATATCAGTTACAGTTTTTTCTCTATATTCAAATTTTAAAATTTACACTACTTTCAAAATATTTCCCGGTTTTATTAAAATCAACTGTTATTGACATTTATTTAAAAAAAAATGTCTCTTTTTCATTATCTCAACTTTATCTTTTGCTTAAAATTTATTTCAGCCTTCGTTTTAACCAAATTAAGACCATTTTCCTTAATTTCTTTAAAACTGAATTTTGTATGGAAAAATCAACTTATGTTATTATTTTGCTTATGTATATATATCAGGGCCGTCCAGACGAGGTGCGATTCCAAACCAACACAAATCATTGTATAGATTGGAGGGTTGTAGAACCTCCAATCTACAATGATTTGTATACATACGTTATGATGTTTTTTTGAGAAAAATAGAAATACGGCGATAATGTTACATTTAGTTTTATTAATTAATTTATTTTAATTTATTAATTTTAGATACCATAAAAATAAAGTAATACAATTTTACCAAAATATACTAAAGAAAAATTAACGTATTTGTGGTAGATTGGTAACATGTCACAGGTTTCAGAAATAATAGGCGTGGAGCGCATGAGGCCCGTGAATGTGCTTTGGACAGCTCCAGTATATATGAATGGTTCTGAGTAGGTAGTTAATGTGCAGACAAAAGACATATCAAAAAGATATTTGTTTACACTCTTATCTCATGCAATTTGAGAACAATCAAATTGAAAACAAAACTATATCAGGATGGCTCCTCCAGCAAATAAAGTTTTATTAAAGAAATCACGTAAAGCTATCTCCTTAGATATTAAATTAGAAGTTATACGTCGTTTGAATGCAAGAGAAACAATTTCACAGGTTTCTTCTGCTATGGACTTAGCAAAATCTACTATTCAAACTGTGCGGAACAATGAGGAAAGCATAAAAAAATTAATGCAGACTATAACTATATAAACTATATATAGACTATCAACTCCAAAGAAATGATAGGTATATTCGTCGTATATATTATAATAAAGTTAATTCTAAAGTGAAAATATTTTAAAATTAGGCAATACGCGTAACAGGTCCGTTATAATGGACAATACACATCGTTAGCTGCCAATGAGCCAGAGGATTATTCAAGAGAAAGCAAAAAGTCTCTTCGAAACTATAAAAAGTAAAGAAAATGATAATGCCAGTAAGGGCTGATTTGAAAAATTTTAAAAACGTTATAATTTTCATAACGTAAAACTTTAAGGTGAAGCGTTCAGTTGTGTTGTGGAGGCTGCAGAAGAATATCTGCCCATAATTAAACAAATTTTAAACGACGGTGGATATTCACCTGAACAAGTTTTTAATGCAGATGAAACGGGTTTATATTGGAAATGTATGCCAGATACAACATATTTGTTAAGAGACAAAGAAATGCGACGATATAAAGTTTCAAAAGAACGTCTAACCTTATTGTTCGTTTGCAATGCATCTGGGGATTTTAAACTAAAACCGTTCCTAATTTACGTGTCAGAAACTCCACGAACCTTAGAAAATGTAAACAAAGCAATGTTACCGGTTATATGGAGAGCAAATAAAAAAGGTTGGATGACTAAAATTTTGTTTGAAGAATGGTTTTAAACATATTTCTGTCCAGCAGTTAAAACATATTTAAAGAAGAAAAAATTTATCTAATAAAGCACTGCTCCTTTTAGACAACGCGCCCTCACATCTAATAAGCATTTGTGATTTCTCTAAAAACATTAAAGTGGAGTTTTTGTCAAAAAATATCTCGACTTTACTCCAGTCTATGGATCAAGGTGCCATATTTACTTTTAAAGCGCATTATATGCAAAAAATTTTCATATGCTCAAACAAGCAACTGATAATCAAAGATGCCAAAAAGCTTGCTGGAAAAACTACAACATTAAAGATGTCATAGAAAACATAGATCAATCATGGAAGGAAATACAAATGTCATCTCTTAATAAATTTTGGCAGCGTTTATGGCCGGAATGCGTAGTCAAAAATCCTGTGCCTGAAGTTGATATCAATGTAAATGATGTTAAAAAAGCAATAGAAGCTGGTTCTGCAGATTACACTTAAGATGGCGTCATCTAATTTTCAACAAATGACAGCGGGCCGCTCACGAATGAGGAACTACTGCAGCTACATGATTTAGAAAACTTATTTGAGGAGGAGGCAACCATATCAGATAATAGTTTTAAACTCACATCGCAAATGCTAAAGAACTGTTTTGATAAAATTGATGATGTACTCAGTTACCTTCAAAATGCAGATTCACTTCCCCAGCATAGCTTTGATGTTGTCAAAAAAGTTAATGAAGCTATGCAACCATATAAAAAATTTCTAAAAGAGCAAAAAAAAATCAAACAGCTAACGTTACATTCGTTTTTTAAAGAAACATGAAGATTTTTAAAATATTCAAATCAGTAAATAAATATATATCAGATATAGTGATTATATATAATTTTTTTCAAGGACTTGAGCGTGCTGGAGTTAGTATTAAGACTTTAGTTATAGCTACAAAATAATATAAATAGGTACTATAAAAATATTATTATTATTATTGTTAGGTGACGTAGCACTACGACCGTCGGGTCTATTATGCCCCCTGTGGGATCTTAGGTCAATAAAGGTCTCTTAGCCCTGTTGCGTCAATAAAACGTAGTACAGAACCTACTTTACAGAGTTTTGTTGCCTTTTCCGGCAATGCCATAAAAATGCTAATAGCGTACCACATTATATGGACATAATAGATCTTAAGTTTTTGATGCAATAGCCCCACTTTATAGCATTATATACAGCTGTACCGATGGTTGTAAGTGTTTCTATTAAACAATAACTGATCACATTTGCTGAATGTTTTTATATTCTTCTTTTTTTTCTTTGCTTGATCAAACACGGGTTATTATCTAAAGCACTTTTACTCCATACTGTAAGTGACCATTTAGATGATCCGCTGTAATAAGAGCTCTGTTATATTCTGATAATAAGTTATTCAGATGATTTTATAGAATATATATTAGACTTGATTCGAGAAAGGAGTGGAATTCTGAATTAGTGTGCACTTCCACTAAATCGAACAATTTCAGCACTATTTCTTTAATATATCTATTTTAATGAATTGTAAATAAAGTTTAACAATTAAAACAATAATGTTATTAAAATAAATAATTTAAAATTAATACTTCAAATATCTATTTTTACAAAAATATATGTATTTTTTACTATTGCATTTTATTAAATCATGTGAAATTTAAAAGCCTTTAAAAAATTATGTGCTTCTTAATAATTCAATACGAAAAAAATAAATAAAATAATATGATAGAAAATAATTAGTAAATAAATTTGTAGTCTATTTATTTTGATCTCTTATTTCAAAACATTTTTTTATGGTAAAATTTATTAGGAAATGCATTATTTATTTTTGTGAACGGTTTTTCTTTTTTACAATTAAAAAATTGTATTTAGTAATAAAATACATACAACACAGTTCTATGCTTTCTCAATTTAATATTTTAATATTTTAACTTTCTAAAATCTTCTATTGTATTGTACTTTTAACTAATCTTTGTGACTGTGTGTTGTTATGGAGAAGTTCAATCTTAAACAAATTATAGTAAATAAGAATATAGCATAAATAAACACTATTACAAGCAATGGCTCCTGCAGCAAGGAAATTGTGGAAAACTTATATTTTAATTTAAAATCAGCTATATGATTTTCTACTAAATTTTTCTTGGAGAAAGTTATAACTGGTCGCCCAACGGTGTCAAGATAAGTGTGCACCAATTCGTTTTTGTTTCTAGTTACTGTGTACGGTGTTATTAGTTCAAAGTTAGAAGTACCTTCGGGTAAAATAATTTTCACAACAGCATCTTCAATAACCATACTCTCGAATATATGATCGATGACACGCATCTGCAGCATATAGTTGTCATTATTTTTATATAAATATTCAAAGGTTGGAACATTGTAGCCCAATACATAATGTGTTTTCCAACCGCCAAATAATGGATATCTTGGCCTTAACTCCAACTCAACGGAGTCGCGCATAACTCTCATATTAGACGTAGATATATTTCCATTACTGTCTCTATAGGAAACTCTTGTAGATGAAGCCGGCAAATATGTTTTATATGATTTCACTGAAGATACGCCTGAACTGCCATCTTTTTGATATTCATATCTGGAAAAGGAACCTTTTAATTTTGCCCCAGAATGTTCCAAGGCAATACTTTCTTTTACAGCAATATTACCCCAATGTGAAACTTCGATAGTTCTTTCCAAATATTTAATTGTCATAAATGGCGAATTGTTTTCATAGTGCAAGACTAAAGGCACATTTGTTTGTTCTAAAACAAAAAAAAAGTGAAATACAATAGTTTATGATTTGAATAGATTTCATTTAAGCAATTATTTACATATTTCTTAACAAAACGCTTACCGTCAATATTTTCATATGGACCGTATTTCACTTTGTTTGATACTACATTGTACGGCTTGACTTGTGTATAGGAAATAATATTCGACGTGCTCAACTTTATTGATGTTTTTTGTGTTTTAGTTTTATAATTGGAGAAATAATACAAATTTCCTGTATATCTCACTAATTGTTTATCAGATTGTTTTATTTGTTCGGGATGCGGAATGACATTATTTGTGAATACCAATTCAATGTGAAATACTTGTGTCGGTGCAGGTGTTTGGAATGTTATAACATATTCGTTTTTATCAGTTGCGCCCTTTCTTTGCTTTATATCTAAGTATTTTTTTAAGCTTAGCGTTGCTGATATAAAAGCCAATTTCTTACTATCATTTTCGGACAGAGAAAAGATATACTCCTTTATTGGCTTGTTGTCTGAGTCTTCTGCTGTAATTTTAATGCTTTCCTTAACCAATTGTGTAGATAAATCTATATTTCTATCAACATTTTGATTGATGATGTGGCTTTTAGCCAGGAAAACAATATTAATTATTATTAACAAACTCAACACCGCTTTTCCACAATACATGTTGCCGAAGTATTGACACCTAAATGCCGGAAATCTAAAGAAGGCACAAAAACGATTCGATTTTTATTCGATTTTTCGAATTTCTGACTCAGCAATCAACTTCGAAAAATATTTAATTATCGAGAGATTTTTTTACACGTAGCGTGATGTATGTCATATATGTTTTCAAATTATTGTTAAATTATTGAATGTATATAAAATTTTAAAGAAACGAATTTTATTACTTATACAAATTATTCTGTTTTTTTAGAATAGTTGTTAGTTCACTTTTTTGTTTTTGTGAATTTTTAAAAAAAAGTATTACATTATATAGAAAACATGTTTTTTTATTTTTGTTTATTAATTTCAGAATTACTATATATATATACTAATACAGAAATACTGTATATACATTTGCAGTTTTAAAAAATAAAAAAGTAATACCAAAAAACGATAAAGAGAACAAATTGAGAGGAAATTTTGAATAATTGTGCCTCTTTATGTAATATCGCAAAAAAATATCTCTTATTTATTCACCTTATCCGAATTGTCATATATTAAAATCAGAGGAGCTAATAACAACAATATTTACTATATTTGTGGATGCATATTAGCATGTAGTCATTAGAAGAAATAGTATAAATTATTGTCATTGGCGAATCCGCTGTATATATAAATTTAATTTTAATGAGTAAATATAGACAAGATTTTTTTTATCAGTTTTACATCAATTTATATATAAATTTTAATATTTGCTTTATAAATCAAATATAAATAAAGAATAGATAAACTAAAATCAATACTGCTTAATTATTATTGATATATGTATGTAAGTACATTTAATTAGTCATAAAAGTGTTTTGACAAAGTGAAAAAATGGTATAGTATATGTTAAAAGATAAGTTCTCTTTTATCATGTTTTACATATATATACTGTATTTATATATAGGAAAAGTTCGTGTGCGAGTTAGGCTAAGTTGCGTTCTAAATGAGGGAAATTCTAAGTTGTGTCGATAATGTAGTAATGTGTCGATACTTAGCATATTTTCGAGGTGGCTAAGTCGAGACTAAATCGTCAGGGTTGCCATTTTAGTATTTTCATAAGATAATATTTTCATAATTGAATTCAAATAAATATAAGAATATAGAAGATGACAATAAAAAATAATTTTATTAAAATGTTTTGTGTTATTTGTATTGAAAAAATTAATAATCGCTATTAGAAAACTTTTAACCGAAAAATGATTACTTTTAGCATATATTTTTCATTATTTAATGAACATTTGCAATAAATTCTGTAAATATTTGTATTTTCTAAAATTTTAATTACTTTTATTTAATATTATAAACATTTCTTTGATAAAATTTTATTATAGTGGCTGATTCCAAAAAACAAAGTCAATTTCTTTTCAATGACTTGGCAATCTTGTTTTGCTAATTTTTGACGTTTGCAAAATTTTGTTTGTATTCAAAATATTCAAAATTTTGGAATTCTGCTTAAATTTTGCAGCTTAAAATATCGTAATTTAGTTTAGTTTAGTTGGCCATTACAGACGTGTGTCGTCCTTGGCCGCCTCGAGTAGCCTCCGCCAGTCAGCCCGATTAGTTGCTTTCTGACGCTAGTTGGTAGTACCGAGCGCCCGCAAAAAATAAAATTGTGTGTAAAATTTTTAGAAATGTCTAGAAAGCGCGTTTACAATAGAAAATGTAAGTATTTATTTTATTAATTTTACTTATATTTTACATGTATAAACGTATTTCTTAATTATAGGGGATAACGCAATGGTGGAGGCGTTCATTCAGGCCCGCATAGGGCTGGAAGACGTGTTTGTTCAGAAGCGAACAAATATTAGGGAATATTGGGAGTAAGTTATTCAAATTATTAATACATTAACAATAATACCAACATAATTTAATGTTAATAAGTCCTGTTTTTCTGAAATAAATCAACTTTATTAATTTACGAAATTTTTAGATTGTTTCCTATGTTGCCATTAAATATATATTAAAAAATAAATTTTTATTTTACAGGCTCGTTGGTGAGCGATGTGGATGCAATGATGATTGGACCACCCTTAAAAAACGGTGGTTCAATTTATTGGGGAAATACAAGGTAAATGAATTTGTTTTGAATATAACAATATAATAATAATACTTTATTTTTTAGCGTCTCAGAAATCCACCGACAGGTAGAGGCGGCGAAGGCGCTGACAATGCAATAAATTGGCCGTTTTATGGCCAACTTCATGAGTATTGCAGTCAGCGCCAAAATTTCAATCCACCTGTTGTAATTAACAGTAAAGGGAGTCCAAGGATTGAAACTGAATCCGCATCACCTTTGGCTTCATCGCAGCATACCGCATCATCACACACTACTTCACAGGCGTCTTCATCCCGCCGAAATTCGCGTTCATCCAGCAGGGGGCTAACGATGCGAAATTTTATAGCCTCCTCAATAAAGACGGACAAGGCGATAAGGAAGGCAGCACGGGCCATTACCTACTATATTTCGGCTGCCACACAAATCGAATTCCAATCGTCCGATTCTGAGTAAGGGCCCTATTAGTTGTAAGATATCTTTTAAGTAGTTTTAATAATTATTATAAGTAGCTTTAATTAATTATAAGATACCTTTTAAGTAGTTTTAATAAATATTATAAATAGCTTTAATTAATTTTAAGATAGCTTTAAGTAATTAATTTTAAATAAATTTTTCTAACTAAAAAAATAAGTGTATTTAAAATATCTTTAATACATATATATATATATATATATACATGTATATAAATATATATATATATAAAATAATTTAATTTACAAAGCATTTAATAAAATAGGTTTTTTTTATTAAAATTTATAACTCAATTACATATGAATGTTGTTTGCAATTTCATCACGCATAGAAATTGCATCAATATTTTCATTCTCAGTAGCAACTCCTTCATAATGACAATCCTCCACGATGTTATTTACTTCAATCAGATCAAGTCCATCATTCAGGCATATATTATGCATTATGCATGCTACAGCTATTGTTTGAACACAGTGTTCAAGATTTAACCTAAGAACTTTATCAAAAATTGAGCGCCAACATATTTTCAATGCACCAAATGTACATTCAATAACAGTACGAGCCTTACTATGAAGCTCGTTAAATTTCTTTTGTCTTGCTGTTAACGGCTGCAATCTTTTATATGGAGTGGAATTGCTATTGGACTAGTCCGACAACAGTATCCACTATCGCCTAGCAGGTAGTAGCCTGGTGGAGGAAAATTTTGCAAATTAAATAATTCACTGCATTGTAGAACCCGCTCATCGTGCACCGATCCTGGGAAACCAACACAAATAGATAAAAATTCCTTATTACTGGAACATACAGCTTGTAAATTGATTGATGTAAATGACTTTCGGTTCATGTATTGATCACGAAGTCGTATAGGCACAGCTATTGGTATATGTGTTCCATCTATGGCACCTAATGCACGATTGAAAATTGTAGTACTGGCTCGTTGGTTAAATTTTGTAGAAATGCTTTCACACTCACTTTCAGCTGGATATTTAATAACCGATGACTTTAATGAAAGGAACCCTTTCAAGCACTTGTAAACAATATCCCGCACAGTATATCTCGAAATTCCAAACGAAGCTCCTGTTACACGATAGCTTGCACCACAGCCAAGCCAATATAAAAATACAGTAATAATAAACCGGTCATCCGGTTAGGCATCAACTTAGCCTAACTCGCACACGTCCTTAGTAAGTAAATTTTTATTAATGTGGTATTTTTGCACTTAATTGCTACTTTGACGCATTTTTTCGTAACGGATTTTTATTGTCAAAATTCCAAAAAAAAAACAACGAAATTTCTCAAAAAGTGTTCTTATTTTAGCAAATATCGTGGTGAATAGGGACCGATGTGTAATCTACCTTTAGGCCTACCTCTAAAAACTAATTTTAAAATCAGTTTTAAAAGTGATTTTAGGACTCGCGTAAACGTAATGAATTTCACTTTATTAATCAGTAGATTAAACAAATATGATAGGATGGAGTAGTTCATTTACTCCTTCTCAAAATATTGACTCAAGATAGTTTTAGTCTAAAATAAAATATTTAGGTTTTGCAAAAAGCAAGAAGCTACTTATGGTTCAAAGAATTTATGATACAACTGAATAAAAAATTAATAATTTGCCTTGTAGTATTTAAGTTTAGAGAAACTAAATTAAATTAAAAAAAATTTGGTGAAAATGGTAAAAAATTAATTTATAAAATTTATAATAATACCTTTAAAAAAATAAAGTCAAATAATAATAATTGTTAATAAATAATCTTTTTTTATAAAAAATTCATTTTTATATTATATTTTTGAATACACGTATATTAGGCTTCAATTCACCATAATGTAATATATTATGTAAATCATATTTTGTTACTTTCAATATATAAAAAATATGCATAAATAATAATATTGATTCACACATATTTTTTTATAAACAACAATAGTTAATATATAATATTCTTACATAGCAATAAATTAAAAAACTGTTGGTACACTAAATGACATGCCGTGTGACTTGTCAAAATTTAGTGTCATAAACTATTGTGAAATAATATTAACAACTTATTTGCTTTTCTTCTGGCAAAGTCAGATTGTATTTTGTGATGTATTTATTTTGTTCTATAAAACCGTTTAACAAACAACGACTACGCACATTCAAATTTTTACGTTGAAATTCTGTGACTTTTATTTTAACTGAAATTTGTTATTTGAATGAAATTATCAAATCATACGGGCTATGGAATGGACAAAGGAATCTGTAATTGCCTTAATAAAGTATTGGGAATTATATCCATGTTTGTTTAATTCAAAAGATCCATTGAACAATAACAAACACGCACGATATGATGCTTTAGAAAAAATTCACGATGCATTGCAGGAGAAATATCCTGGCGTTGAAATAGGGGAAATTAAAAAGAAAATGTGTTACTTACGTGGACAATATTCCAGAGAATTGTTAAAAATGAAAAAACCAAATAACAAAAGCGGTATGGATGCAGATGACCATTACGAACCTCAAGCTTATTGGTTCAATCTATTGAGCTTTTTGACACCATTTATATCTTGCAGGAAAACAAGGGACAGTTTGGTAAACTCACTTTTAGGTTTTATGGTTTTTTTTTAATATAATATATTTAAATAGTGTTCATCTACTCCTAAAGTTCGTCGCAACAACACTTGTTCTTTTAAGCCAGAGAATGAAAGTGAAGTTGCTTTGTCGCCTCAATTTGCATCCCGCTCACCTTTAACACCTATTGATAACTCTTCAATGTCAGCGAGTAACTTATTGGATCCCACTGTGTCGATATTGCAGAAGGTCACGGAAGCAAAACAAAATTCGTACCCTGCGGATGTTGAAGCGTTTGCTGAATATATTAAATCCAAACTAGTTGGTATCACGGACGCATATTTGAAAGTGGAGCTTGAAAGTAAAATGTTGAATTTAATATGCGAATATACATTAAAACAACTACAAAAAAATTAATATAATTTGAATATAATATTTAGATTAGGTTATAATATTAAATAACAAAAATGTATTCTGTTAATTTTTTTTTTCTTCAAAACGTAACTGGTTGAAAATTAATGTGGACACATACTTTTCTAGTTCACTTCTCACGAGCCATAGTTTGTATTTATGACTTTCTCTTTGTCACTTTTTTATTATTTGTCACATGATCCTTTGTTTATTTATTTATTATCAACACAGAATTAATTGCTGACTGGCTTAGCAATAAACTTTTCACTTTATTTATTATTTATTTTAATGTTTTTGCCAGACTATGTATAAATAAATCTTCTCATAACATAGACAAAAACTATAAAAAAATCAAATAATGTAACACGAGCTTAAGTAATAATAATTATTGAATTCATTTTATGTGTATGTATATCATTTAAGCCATTTGAATTTATAATATTAATAATATTGTATACGGAATGTTTTTTAATTTTGTGAATAATACAGGATAAAGTTGTAAATAAAAAATAAATAAATAAAAATTAGAACATTATTAAAATGAATGAGAAAAACAGAAAATAAAAAATGAGTCCAAAATAAAATGAAATACAATTTGGAGTCAATTGTTTTGGGGTTTCTCCGGTAACTAGCCTCCGGATATAGTCATTAGGCAATACACCGTGGACATGGGACGATAATTCTAGTGTGTGGTTATGGAGCCATGACAGCGAGAAAGTTCTAGTTAGCAGATAACTAGAGATTTGGACATACAAATAGACAAATTCAGATTCTGTAATTCATATCGTGCGTGTTTGTTATTGTTCTTTTGGTCTTTTAAATTAAACAAACATTGATATAATTCCCAAAAATTTAATCAATTAAAAATAAGAATTTTGTTGCAAATTACTAGTTTAAGAAAAAATATGTACAAAAATAGTTTTGTCATAATAATATTTGATTTTTAATAACATTTTTTTCTTAATTTTAAATGGAACAACCAACTGAAACACATTACTTAAGAACTATGAGATAGTAAAGTATATCTATTTACAATGTAGTTCTCACTTTGATGCAATATGTTAATGCAGTTTATCGATTATATATACACAAATGTATAGATATGCGAATAATTGTTCTATTTTATTATAATAATACAAAAAAAAACACAATATTTATCAACACAATGTGATTGACAATGCTTAAAAAGATTTAACAAACTAAGAATTATATAAATTGTATATTTTATATACATATTTTTTATATACATTCCAAAAAAATAATTTTACTCTATTAAATAAAATTCTATTTAAATTTTATGAATAGAAGTTATTGTATCCAACTTTCTCTATGTTTTCTCATATGAGCAGCAAGTCCAGCAGCCTGTGCGTAAGCCTTCCCACATATTTTACAAACAAACTTTTTAATTCCTAAATGTAAATACTTATGATGATATAATGCTTTCGGTCGTGAAAATGTCGCCCCACACACATCACATATATGCGGCCGGTCAGTCGCGTGTGATGCTTTATGTTCGCTTACTAGTGAAGAGGAGGCAAATCCTTTTTGGCATATATTGCATGTGTAGGGCTTTTCTCCAGTATGCGTACGGTAATGTATAACAAGTGTTTCCTTATTTCTACAACCGTAACCGCACTTGTCGCATATGAAATTTTTCATATCCGTGTGTAAATGCTTGTGACTTGTTAAATGACGCTTGGTAAAGAAACGCTTTTTACAATTCTCAAAATCACAAACAAAATTTTTTACTCCACTGTGTACGATTTCATGTCTATTTAATAGATGTCGATATTTGAACTCTTTATCACAGTGGCTACATTTAAATACGATATGTTTTTTGCCCATGTGCTCCTCTAGCTTTTTTCGTGTAGCAAATGTTTGATCGCATTCTTCGCATTTGACATTTATAACAGTTTCAGCACTTTCATCATCCTCGGGGCCATGTTCACGTTTAATATGTATGCGCATTTGTGTTATATTTTTATATGTTTTCTCACATTTTTCACATTTATGCGTTTTTGGTTTATTTTTCTTTTTCTTGAAATAAAGTTATGATAAGTTTTTGATAATTGTATACTTTTGTAATTGAAATACCTTTGGGATATATTCTTCTTCAGTTTCTGTACTACAGTCTGTAACTGGCCATGAATTATTTTCATTATGGTCATTGGCAGTAATCTCCTCCTTACTTATTTTCCAATTAATTATGCCAGATTTAATTTCTTCCTCATATTCTTCTTCACTACTAGGTTCATTTTCAGTGACTGCCTCTAGATTAACAACTGCTGATTCAACTTTTGCTATATCATGGGTTTTTATTAAGTCTTCATCGAAATGTATATTTTTCATATGAATTACAAAGTCGTCAAAGTTAAAACTTTTTATTTCACAGAAATTACAAATGAGTGTAAAATCTGTTGAGCTTTGACAAAATATTTCCCCACATTTTATATTGGCAGCGCTGTGAAAAGATACAAAGTTATTTTGTAGTAAACTTAACATTGTTATTTTTTATTGAAGAGTGATTTTAACCATGTAACATTTGTTTATTTAAATTTTCGATTAAAAAATGCATTTATTTTTTAAACAACAAATTTTACAAACGAGCGTTGCCACGGTATTAAAATTAACAACTTATGTTCAAATCTATGTTTAGTACATTCACACTGTCTCATATAAGCAGTTGTGCTCATTAATGCCACTAATAAAGATAATCAAACCTAATAATCTTTCATATAGATGAGCTTTTTATAAATAAATCAACACATTTAAGGCCAAAAATGTCAAATGCAAACCTCAAAAATAAATTTCCCATAAGGAAATTACCAAAATTTGAAATATGTGTCACTGTGTCATATGTTTATTCATACGTTTATATGTTTATTTGTAAAATGAAAATAAACAAGCTATTTCTTATGCATAAATCAGGTCATGCTAATAAAAACGACAAAATTTTAATTACATTATATTATAGTATGCTTTCACTACTTATTTCGTTAACCATACAAAGATCTTCCGTGCTTTTTAACTTACTTATATACAAAGTAAGAAATATTAGACTAAAAATATCAAATGCAACACTTAAAAAAAATTTCCTCAAGGGAAATTATCAAAATTTGAAATATTTGTCATATCTTTTATATATAAAATGTAAACAAACAACAGGAGAGCTGTAAACAAATGCACTGAGAAAAAGATTTGTTTGAAATCTTTGTTTTTATTAATTGAATAAGTAATATAATTATAATATATTTATATATATATAAATGATATAATATATCAATATTATTTTGTTAATATATAATGCATATCATAAACTTTAATATCTTAAATAATATATGATTACATATCAATTTTGGTTAAAAAAATGGTTAAGAAATGCACTGAGAAAAAGATTTGTTTGAAATCTTTGTTTTTATTAATTGAATAAGTAATATAATTATAATATATTTATATATATATAAATGATATAATATATCAATATTATTTTGTTAATATATAATGCATATCATAAACTTTAATATCTTAAATAATATATGATTACATATCAATTTTGGTTAAAAAAATGGTTAAGAAATGTTCTAAACTACAATTGAATAAATTATTTGATTATTGTAAATAAAGTATTACATTAAACTGAACATATTGTTCAATACAATTATATTAATATATATATAAATGCATTTAATATGCACTTAAATATTAGAAATAATAAAAGGTGGCAGCCATTTGTTTACATTTTAGTTTTGGTTAAAAAAACTATTGAGAAATTTTCAAGATTCTAAGCAAATAAATTATTTAAATATGATGAAAAGTATTCAGAGAAGTTGTTGTTGTGGTTATATTAAAAGCAAATGTGCAGAAATTCATTACCAAAAAAGTAGTTTCAAAATATTGTGTATATTATGTGATCTTAGCACTTTAAATTATATCGAGTTCTTGGAGCATTTTCGGGAACAACATTTAACAGAATTTATAAAAACTTTTAAAAACACAAATGAGCCGGCCTCTAAACCAAATAATAATAACGATGAAAATAACACAAAAATAAATCCAAATGATCCGCTGGAGTTAGAGGAACAGATTGTTGAAAAAGATTCTAATAATTTTTTAGAAACTGAATTGGATTCTTTTCTTGAAGCTACTTTGGAAGTTAATAATTGCATAAAATATGACAACAATGAAGTATTAAATAATGATAGCGAAGAAAATGAAGCAAATAGCGATGTATGTAAGTTTTTAAGGAATCATACATTAAAAATAACTTACACAATTGAAATTAATATATAGGTTTAATGGTGTATGATTCCTATACTCTTATACCTTTTTAATTTAAAATGATATAAATAATATTTACAGTTAAAATTAGAAACAACACTGATCAGCCCGGTAGAGCAAAAAAGTAAAATAAATTATAACACACAGTGCGATTTGCTTTCCTTTGATGATGACTGTTTACAAATGATAAGTGCACATAATGAAGACAGCCTAGATAATGTTGCTTCTATAGATTCTTCGAAATTAGCTGAATGTAATGAAGATATAGATTGGAATAAACCTTATGCTCCAACTTTATTAAAAAATCATGAAAAGCGACCGTATAAGCCACGCAATAAACCTAATGTTTGCATGTATTGCGGTCGAACATTTCGGCGACGTTATCAGCTAGACACACATTTAAATATTCACACTGGAAAAAAGCCGCACCAATGCGATATATGTGGACGTCTTTTTCGCGCTGTTACTACTTTGACACGACATCTTAACACACATGAACAACGTAACAAATTCAGTTGTCAATTTTGCAGAAAAGTTTTTACGCATAAAGCTGCACATTTAAGTCACGAGTTGCGCCACACTCAACAAAGGAGTATTCCATGCGATGAATGTGAAAAAATATTTTACACAACCAATCAAATGGACACACATAAACGTAAAGTACACAATAAAGTTGATGATGATGACTTACCATTTGCATGTGATCTCTGTAAAAATCGTTACCGCAGCGCCTCAATGCTGAGTACACACAAACTAAAAAAACATTATAAAACAGCCAAATTCATATGCGAACAGTGTGATAAGAAATTTATTAATGAACAGTTATTGGAAAATCATAAACTAATTCATATAGCCAAACTTACAAAGAGTTAACAACAGTTTTTAATTCCATATACAGATTAAAATTTATGTTTTTAAGGTATTAATTAAATTGTCCTTAGCCCTATATTACCATAAAATTTTAAATAGAAGGCATTCTCTTTTGTTATAAACTACATAATATATAAATATACAAACTAAAACATTATTTTCATAAATTTGGAAATCATTTCGAATAAAATAATACCATTAAGATTTAAAAAATATTGATGATATGTTTAAACTGTGTAAAATGTGAAATTTCATAAAATTGCACAAAATTCTTTTAACAAAGCAAGGACGCATCACTACAGCAATCTGTTGGTAATATCGTATTGCCATTTTGCTGATTAGTTGTTTTCAGACTGCAAATTTTTTTTTCTGATTCCATTTTCCAAAATATTAATTAAAATGAATATGTCAAAGATTTCAGCAAAAAAAAAAATAAATACAAATGTTTGAATAGAGGATGCTGCGCTGGATATAATAGGAAGCATAGGTTGAGTAGAAAGACCTATATCTCAATGTTACACATTGCTAAGCATTTTTAAACCAAAATGCTTGTTTTAATACTTGTTTTCTTTAAATTTAAAATAGCCAAACAAAAACATTCCCACAATTCACACATTAATGTGTGTCCAAATAAAACTGCCCGCTAAAAACGGGATACCAACGTTTAACTCCATATGTTGAATTCCTTGCTAATAATTTTTAATGGCAACTCTAAAAAATTCAATATTTTGCACAGGATTTTTATGGCGTTCTCGACTGGTAAATTTGTATAACACTTGAGATTAATGTATAACACTCGAAATTATTTTATAACACTCCAGATATTTTGTCAGAGTAGCAAGTTTGCCCTAAAAATAAAATCTGTTTTATATGGTTTGAAAGATAAAAAAATGTAATATGTTTCTACGTGTTTGTTTATGTATTTGACTGTCGTTTTGAAAAAAAATATGAAATCAAATGTAGATGAAAACATATTTTTCAATTTGTTACCACATGCAAAAACGGAAAAAAGTAAATTTAAAGAATTAGTGGCGAATGTTGTGTACAAATACACATGAAAAAAGTTAAGTTGGTCATTTCAATTCAATTGGTTTATTAACTAACACAACTACAAATATTTTAGATTACTCTAAAAATGTTCGATTGGGCAATAAAATTTGACAGATTGAGAGTAAATTTAGATTCAATCCAGATTTACCAATCGAAAATGCTATAAATTAATAACATGTTTAGCTTATTTTACGTGAGTCTGCAATTGTAACCTAAGTAAAGTTTAACTGTTTATATTAATATATTTAATTTTTTTGAACTTGAATAAAGGAAATAAAAATCAATTGGTTTTTTAGAAATTTGCTATTCAATATGATACGCTGCCGAGTTCTCTCATTGTTCAAAGGGAAATTTGTTAAAATATATATTAAAAAATTTAAAAAACATTTGTCTATTACTGCATTTCTATTTTGAACTTATTGAATTAATCGAGTTTAGAAAAGAAATTTTAAATTCATTTACTGCTTCATTTATATTTACAATTTATTTTTATTTGAAAAATGCTTTCGTTCTGAATTATTTCTCTATTTATTTTTAATAAAATTTGCATGTATAATTACCACATTAGAATGGTGGTAATATTGGCTTGCATTTTAAATGACAAAAGTAACTTAATCTAGAGATTTACAAGTTGAACACGAATATCACACGCTATTAGGCATATTGAAACTATTTTTAATAAAACCATTCCAATAAAAACTATTTTCTTTACATTCACTGACAGCTTTGTACCCTCTACTAATAAAAGTGAACAATAAACAATTATAAACATAAAAAAACTGTTTTCATATTATTAACAGTAATTCAACAATTATTTGAATATGTGTGTTGAATGTAGTATGGTGAATAAAAATCAGAAATATATTGTATGTTGATTTAAAGGGCATCCACACAAAGCGGACGCTTGCGAACGAACGAACGAATAGATGTGTAGTGTTCGTTAAAATTCGGCAGAATTTGCGTTTGGCAAGAAATTCGTGTAGAGTTCGATCTTTCGTTTGCTTACATTTGCTAGGTGATATCTATTGTATAATTTACAATATATATATGTAATCATAATATAAAGATATGAGCAATAACGTCATTATAGCTAACGCTGCTTTTATAATTGTATCTGAATGCTCCAAAAAAGAAAACGTAAATGTTGGATCTCTAAGTTTCATAACATAAGGAATCGTAAATCCACACCGCTTCTAAAAGAACTGAATGTTAAACGATATGTACTTCAATAAGATTTTAAAATTGATATCTTAAAAAATATTGGAACAAGATATATTGGATTAGAAAAAGTATAACTCCAGCACTCTCAGATTTTTGGCAACTGGAGGAGATTCTTTTACTAGTTTTAGAATATCGAAGCAGATTATGATATAAGCAGATAACATATCCCAGATTGTACCTGAAGTGTGTTCTGATTTGCTTGAATCATTGAAAGAATATGTGAACATAAGATTTGAATTCAAATAACTAACTTCAATATATAAGAAATCCAATTTATTATGCAATTTGGGTTCCGTTGATTATTTTAAATATTTTAAACTAAATTGTGGATATAACCCATGCTGTTATAATGGTCGTTAAAAACCATGGTGATAAAAATATTATCATAAAAGACAACACTGTGAAAATTATAAAATACTTCATTATAACATAGAATATGTTAAAACATTCTTTAAATGTGTTAACAATTTGCAAACGCAATTGCAGCGAAGTACTAGCAAACTCACCTAATGAGTTCGTTCCCATTCACTTTATCATCTACACCGCCTTACAAATTTTCGTTGGTTCGTTTAAGCACACTAAGTATAAAGATCAAGTATGTGACTTGCTATACACTTTGAATCAAGATGTAATTTTACCGAATACATGTCTACAGACCGATATTTTGTATGCACACTTGAATATACATAGTGCGATGTAGTAGCATGGCATACTTGGTTTGCATACATGTAGCATTGTCTGTATCAGGTTTTAGTTTGCTGTAAAGTTTTTTTGCTCGTACACACCAACAACAATTCGAACGCATTTGTGCAAACATTCGTTCGCTCATATATGCTCTGATGTCGACGCACCTTTACGTCAAAACCGAATTTTTAAATTCGATACATCTATGCCAAAGTAGTTGACTACAATGAAATTTAGTCTGGCAACATTTGCATTCTTTGCTTTCAGCTTGGAGACGTACTTTGATTTAATAATAATTCTAATTTTTAAAAAATAAATAATAAAGTGCAATGCAGAGATGAGTGCCATAACATTTCAACAAAACGGTGTCAGTTCTGAATACGCAATAAATACCGCGGACACTGATGATACGGACAAAAAACCGTGTCATCTGTTAGAGGATGATACGCAATGTGGTTATATATTTTTTAGTGAATCTCTGCGAGTTCTGAAATTTTTTTGTACGTTCTGTAGGGAAGCATATGATGATATTTACTTTTATTGTGAGCATTTAAGCATACACCTCAATGATAATGTGGATCAGGATAAGGTTAAGTCATCTGCATCTGTAAACGAAGAAAAATTAATTGATAGCCATAGTGATACAATCGAGGATGTCGAAGAATTTGAAAATAACGAAGAATTTACTGATTACAATTATGAAGAAGTTGGAGATTTGTGTTCTGAGTTAGATGAAGCGGATGAAATAGCCGCTGAAGTTGAACAGGAGATGCAACATTTATACAAAGTTAACAAAACGAGCAGTGAGAACAGCAATTCTGGAGACTTTTATGGATATGATGAGGATGATGGTCTCAAAGTTGGGCAGAGTATAAAAATAGAAAAAATTGGTATAGGTAGAAAAGTGATCACAGCAAATCCTACAGATTATGAAAGTTTAATTGATTATTCAAAGCTTGAGGTAAGAGCACTAAATGTGGAATGTTTAATTTTTTAACTAAAAAGCTTATATATTTCAGGAATACAAATTAGAGCCTGTAAAGAAAAAGAAAAATGTCAAAACCGTTAAGATTATAGCAGTTAAAAATAAAATAGCCGAATTGTATGAAAAAATCAAAGAAGAGGAAGAAGTTAGAACAAGAGCGACAGCTGAAAGTATGAAGAAATTGACAGAAAATTTAATAAAGAAAAGTAATTCTGCACCAGCACAACTATCAAAAGAAAAGGACAAAATCGCGTCAAACGATGAAAATTCTACTAGAAAATTAAATTGTACAATAATAGGAGAAACCGTAATAACACTTCTACCGAGCACACCAAGTCAACCAGCTGCAGAGATAGCAACAAATGCAACAATAGAAGAAAATGAAGACCCTATCATTGAAGACAAATCTAAAGATACAGAAACTAACGAATTAAACGATAGAACATGTCCTGCTTGCAATAAAGTTTTTCGTAATGCATTTAGTTTGTCGGTTCATAAACGGACGCATTATATGGAATCAGATTGTGAAATAAAACTAGCACACAAGTGTTCAGATTGTGATAAATTATTTAATCGTATAACTGAATTAAAAGAACATATCGAAAAAGAACACTATCCCGATGGTTATATATGTAAGGTCTGTAATAAGAAGTTATCATCTATTTTGTTATTGGAATCACATATGAAAAAAGTACATCTTTCAAAACCATTTACTTGTGAAATTTGTAAACGAAACTTTTCTAGTCGCGCTATTTTTGAAGAGCATGTACAAACACATATAGATATGCCAAATTTTAGGTGTCACATATGCGGAAGAAAATATAATACATTTAATTTACTACAAGAGCATAAAGCCCGACATCAGGAACGTGTGCCGGAAACCTGTGTGGTATGCGGAAAAAAAACGTTACGTATAACACAACATATGAAAATACATGAGCCGCGACCAAAACGTATAATAAGTTGTAAATATTGTGGTAAAATATTCAATTTTAGCTCTGGATTGAGTCATCATATCCGAATAATGCATAATGAACCACGTTTAGCAAAAAATATTGCAGAAACAAATGCTAAACGTAAAAGTGATGAAATCAGTCCAGATAGTGAGGAATTCATTAAGAAGGAGGAGGAAGCAAAGAAGGTGATTGTGGAGTTAATTCATAATGCTACATATAAATCATTCTTACCTGATAACTTCACATATGATTTTGTAAACACACCACCTATAGCCAGAGAAGAAACTATTTCTGCTGTAAATAGCATAACAAATCCTTGCTAGAAATTAATTTATATTAGAATAATAATAATAAATGTTAAAGTTCTCACAATTAATGTGCTTGTAAGTTATTAAAATATAATTTTTAAAGTAAGCAAAAAATATAACTAAATTTAAAATTGTGTTCGTTATTGTTTCGTTGAAATTAAGATTTGCAGTATATGACACAATTTTATTTAGGTTTTTTATTCTTTAATTGCATATTAAGTTGTATTAATATCACGGAATACATTTTCTGATTCAGAAGACTTTGACTGAAATAAGGTCTTACATATTATTTAAAATTATATACCATGCATCTATCTACGTTTATGTAAAATAAAATTAATATGATTAGAACTTTTTTGAATAAAAATACGCATAAAAATTTTTCACTTTATAAATTTATTGTAAATTTTTTGTTTCATTTTAAAATAATCAACGGTTGTGATTTATTTTTTAAATCCTTATTAATTTATAATTTGTTCATCACTTACCGAAGCATTTGAACATTTTTAATGATTAATATGCAAAAAAGCTACAAAATGAATATATTCACTGCTAAGGATTAAAAAAATAAGTTAATATATATGTATAAAAAGAGATATAGTTATATATGTTGATAACACCAAGTGCTATGAATTTTAGAATGTATCATTGTTGCAAAAATAAAATTTCTGCATACATTATTAAAAAAAAGTTACCCACATTTATCAAGTATGACGTTTCTGAATTATTTAGTCTGGCAGCACATGATGTGTCAATGGTATCTTTGTAGTCGCCGTGTATTTTACCACGCATTTGTTTGAACCGGGAAAGAAATTAAGATGCATCCGGAGCTAACAGAAAGAATTCTTCAATATTTGGAGAGTAATGACAGTGTTGATACACTCGATTTGGCCACACATTTTGGTTTGGATCACCAAAAAATCATTGGTGCATTAAAAAGCATACAAGCGCATGGCGATCTTGTTGTTGCAGAACCAACAGCAAGAAAAACCATTGAATTGACAGACGAAGGAAAATCAGTTAAAGAGCAAGGCAGTCATGAAGCTGTTGTATATGCGAACATACCAGAGCAAGGTATTGCACAAGCATCGCTAATGCAAACTAGTCCTAATGCTAAAGTAGGTTTTAGCAAAGCAATGTCACAAGGATGGATTTTGGTTGATAAATCTGTTAATCCACCATTAGTTAAACGTAAAGTGGATAAAATTGTAGACAGCGTAAAGGAAAATTTAATTGCGATAGCTGATGGCAAAGCAGATTTAGCTGCAAATGTATTAGCGGATTATAAAAAGCGTAAACTTTTACAAGAAATAACGACAAAAAGTTTCATTTTAACTAAAGGTTTAGAGTTTGCAACAACTTTGACCAAACTGGAAACTGATCTAACCGTTGATATGCTGGCGAGTGGTTTGTGGAAAGATTTAAACTTTAAGGCATATAACTTTGATGCATTGGGTGCTGCACCGGTAAGGGGTCACTTGCATCCATTGCTGAAAGTGCGTACAGAATTTCGACAAATTTTCTTAGAAATGGGATTTGCAGAAATGCCAACGAATAACTATGTAGAATCATCTTTCTGGAATTTTGATGCACTATTTCAGCCTCAGCAACATCCGGCTCGGGATGCGCACGATACTTTCTTTATTAATTATCCATCTAAAAGCTATAAATTTCCTCAAGATTATTTACAACGCGTTAAGGAAGTGCATTCTCATGGAGGTTATGGATCTCAAGGCTACGGGTATGACTGGAAAATTGAGGAGGCACAAAAGAATTTATTGCGAACACATACCACTGCAGTAAGTGCACGAATGCTGTATAAGCTCGCAAATTCCCCAGAAGGATTTCGACCAGCCAAATATTTTAGGTATGTGTTGAAAAATATTCACACATTTTAAATTCATACATTACTGACCAAAAATTTTAAAAGTAAATTATTATTTTGTATTTAGAATGTTCAGATGTAAATATTTATTAATCGTAATTTTGTGTTCATACCTCCATAACTTCTCTCATAACTTTTATTTTGGTATCATTATAGAAACAATCATAACATATATGTTAAGTAATTGATCGGGCCATAAGGTCACGTCAGCTATAATAATTTATCAAATTTAATAATGTCAAATATCTTTAGGTCACTTGTAGAAGAGATGAACAGTAATTACTTTTCTGCAAAGAAAATTTATTATTATTATAATTTATTATAATTTGATAAGTTATTCCAAATTATGTGACATAATGATTTGATTATCATTTATATCCTTTTTATGTTGTATTATTATAGTACGATGTAAGTCCTACATACTCCCCCGAAATTTGGTTGGGATTTCTGCTACCAACGATACTGTACAATTAGACAAAAACTCAAAAAACAAAATCATGCCAATAATTTATAAAAAATAAAGCCAATCTAACATCTATAGATTTATAATATTTCTAGTCAGTTAGTTTGACTCTACTTCCTCTCATTCTTCCTTTGTAATGTGAATCAAAAACCATCTTTATCACGACTATGTTTATGATAGCTTAAGTGATCTTAGTTAAACTCGGGGAGTTCATTCGGTAAATACACAGACTCTTTATCTCAGAGGTGGTGGACTCGGGCTTACCACCGTGCCATAATGACTGCTCCGTCATACGATAAAAAGTGAAAATAACAAACTTTGTAATGAGATGATGTTTCTTCATTTATTTAAATACATGGTGCTTTAGTATATATGACATTTAAAAATGGAGAATATTTGTATAATGCTTTTTTTATAATTTATATTAAATCTCATGGCACCTGCCAACGTAAAAATATCTTATACTTTTTGGAATGCATGTAATGTAAGAATTAATAATTATTATTATTTATTATTCATGTTGTATATATAATTAAATATTATTTGCTCCTTTTACTCACACAGCATTGACAAAGTATTCCGGAATGAGACACTTGATGCTACACATTTAGCTGAATTTCATCAAGTTGAGGGTGTTGTAGCAGATGTGGGGTTAACTTTAGGTGATCTTATTGGTACTTTGTATGAGTTCTTCCGTAAGCTGGGCATAACACAACTGGAATTTAAACCAGCATATAATCCTTACACTGAGCCTAGTATGGAAATATTCTGCTTCCATCCAGGCTTAAGCAAATGGATTGAAGTCGGTAATTCAGGTGTTTTCAGGCCTGAATTACTGTTGCCAATGGGAATACCAGAGAATGTGAATGTTATTGCATGGGGATTATCATTAGAACGGCCAACTATGATAAAGTATGGCATAAACAATATAAGAGATATGGTTGGACCTAAAGTGGACTTAAAAATGGTCGAAGAAGGACCTATTTGTCGTATGGATCACGCATAACTTTTATATAATCTCTATTAAATAAACAAATGTAATTAAATTGCAATAAAGTGATGTTTTATTTTCAAAATGCTTTAATAAGAATTATGTAAAAAATTTGTAATCATTAAGTTTTAACGAAATGCTGAACTCATTATTTATTAAATAGACTTTTTTATGACTGAAATAGAATACATATTTTATTACAAATGTTTACTACATTGCAGTGTTGACAGTTTTTATTATATTGCAATTACATAATTAGTTTATTAAGTTGGATATGATATTAAGATGAATTATAAAAGGCAATATATATATATTAATAGAAAAACAAACAACGTAAAATTAAACTAAATTCTGGTAAAAGCTTTAAATAATTTAAAGATTTAAGCCACAATTTTTTTTTTGTTGGTATCTTAAAGCATTTAAACCTCATTAAAAGATAAATAATCATAAATAATGATAGCACCAGACGGGTGGATAGGAGGATTTTCACTAAAGAACTTAAAATATCTGAATACAGACTTCCTAAATATTACATCATCTTTCAAGTCGAAGTTGTTCTTAGCGAAGGAAGAACTTGTATTGAGGTAATTTATATATTAAATCGAAGCGTATTTATACTATCAGAAAATCAAGTTGCATTAAGATTTAATTAAATAATATATACATAGGACAATTTCTCTCTGCATAGTATCTTTAAATGAAATGTCGAAACAATTTTATTTTAATCTTGTCTGGAATATCGCGAGTAATGGTTAGCATTTTTATCTTATGTATTTAAATTAATTTATTTATGTATTTGAATTTATTAGTAAATGAATTGCTCACATGATTTCAACGGATGCTTGGAGTTTTTTTGCAACATATTTCCAATGAACATTCACAATAGACTTAATTTGATTGCTCTGTAAATTAAGACGTAAAATTTTTGCGAGTATAACCTTACTCTGAAGATTTTAAGAGCATTGTTATTGATTCTCATGTTTTCTGTCATAAGTTGCGAATATTTTTTTGCTACTCTGTGAGAAAAAATTATGAAAATTATGGCTTAATATAAAATTGATTTTTAAAATCCGTTTTGACGAATGAAACAAAATTCTTAATATAAACTATTGTTTTCAATAGAAAGGCATTTCGTTTTAAATTACAACAACATAATTTTTTATTATTTTGTTAAATGATTTTTTAGGCAAACATACAATTAATTAATAAAATTGAACTAATTATGCTTTAGAAAGAAGATATTTGTAGCCATGTGTAAAACTGTAGCTGTGTAAATACACTATTCTGAATTCATGTTTTTTTCCATATGATAGTATTATTATTGTCAACAAAAAATTTGTAAATAAATAAAAAATATTTTTATTAACGTTTTTCTCAATATATTTTTTTTAAGACGGATTTAAAATTATAAAAACCAGAATTAAAAGCAGCGGTGTAACAAATTTAACTCCACCGTGTGTGTTCACATTTTAGTAGACTTGACTTAGTAGGTTAATACAGAATTGGTCAGATATTAAGATGTCTTCTGATTTAAATAAATTTTTGCTTAATCAGCTGAATGAAAACGGATCAAATAACACTGCATCAACAAGTAAATTTAAGTTGCCGAAGTTTCAAACATCACAAACTGAAAAACCAACAGATAAAAACGAAACCAAATTTGATCTGCCATCATTAAAAACAATAGATCAGAATCAGTTTGACGCTGATTTAACAAAAATTAAAAACGATTTGGCAAATGTACAAATACAAGAACCAGCAACGAAAACTCCAACGTCACCGATCATAGATTTAACAATAGCTTTAAGAACAGCTAACGTAGCTGAAGTTTCGAAGCCCAAGTCAACCGCTAAAATAAAAACTGTTGAAAAATTCCACATTCCTTTTGTTGATTGTGATCGAATTGAAGTGGAATCAAATGAATATTGCCAATTAGATGTATCAAATATGAAGTGCACTCCCTTACTGCATCGGCCGTCCTCATTGGGACGAGTAATTTGCATGAAATACAGAAAGACTACACCATTTAAAATCATACGAAAATGTAAAGCAAATATCAATATAAATCCGTTCAAATTTTGTACGAAGTCACCAGACGACATTGTTCAAGAAGCTTTAGAAAAACATAGATTAAGGCATTTAAATAATTATTGATATTATTTTAATATGTTTGAGAAACGTGTACTTATGTATTAAAAAATTTCACAATTTTATTTTAATTAATATTTAGTATATATAACGGTATAAATGTAAATTTCCTGAAAATTGAAACAAATATAATTTATTACGTTAAAAAACAGTTTTCATTGTTATTTTATTGCTAGAATCACAACAATTCTGTTTAATATATGTTAAGTAATTGATATTAATTGATGTCATTTTTTTTACTACATATATTTAGACGTTCCAAGCATTTATATATGCAAAAAAATAAAGTTTATAAAATTGAATAAATTCTTGATAGTTTGTGGGAATATAGAGAACAGCATTGCCATATTTACTGTTTTGATTGACTGTGTATTCTTCTTTGATATACAAAACACAAACTTTAAAATAAAACTTTTTAATAATTATCTTTTATAAATTTGCTTCGAAGAGGAGAAAATTAATAAAATTTTGTTGATAAATAATTTTACGAATTTATTGTAATTTAGACGTGTTCAAATTTTAGGAAAAAAAAAATAAATGGCACCTTTGTAAATTCTCTCATGTTCTATTTTCTCAGTATGCCCCACACAAAACAAAAAAAGGAAATAACAAATCAGGGAGAAGTGAAAAATTCTTGTAGCATTATCCTTTGTGAAAATTAATAAATTTCTTTTAGAAATTATGGAATTAATAATTGATTCTTAATTTGATAAAATCATTTCATTGTCATAAAGAAAAAAAATTTAAAATGTCTAAAGGCGGACAAATTATTTTTAACAGAATAAATGAAACCAAAAATGGTCAATACAACAAAGCTAACAAAATGACTACGGATAATGAAGTTAACTTTCGAGTACGGTCAACGCCAATTCGGGTGTCCCCTGCCACAAAAAAAAATGCGCTAAATAGCAAAACTGATAACAATTCGTTTAATAATAAAATTATATGCGAATCAATTTCATCCACTCCTATTTTAAATAAAAAACAAAAACCAATTCGTTGCGGTGAAATTTTCGTAGCCAATATCGCTGCGAGACATTGGACATTTACATGTTCGTTCTGCAACAAAAGCACCAGAGATATTGGAGAATTTATTTGTCACATCAAAATAAAACATTTGGTAGAAGACCATGAACAGACAAATGATGCAGATTCCGACGATGATATTGTTTTTAATGATGATTATGGAAGTTCAAAAGAAGACTCAAACAGTCAAAATAACAGTCATATTAATAAATTTTTCTCAAATAATACAGACGCTAAGAGAAGACTAACTTTTACAAACAACAAAGCTATTGAAATAATACCGATTATATCCTCTAAACAGCACGGTAAAACCTATCCCCAACAAACAAGCTCTTCACACAATTCAACTGAGGTAACAAAAACGTTGTGATGCTAATATTAAATAATTTTTTTTATTTAATTTATAATTTTTTATTAATTTATTATTATAGTATTTTCCATAGTTTGAAAAATTCTATATAGATTTCACCTTATATTTAAGTGAATTTTGGTATAGTTAAGCTTGCTTACTTGTTTTTGTATTAAAATTTGGCTGTAATAATTTTGATTAGCATATTTCAATTAATGTCACAAATTTTTAATAAATTAATATGTAATAACAATAAAGGATATTATAAGACGTGTATATATTGAAACCTCCACATTACTAAACTATGTGTATTAAATGCATATAGTTATGCCCTATGCTATCCAAGCGTATATTTTCTTTGAGTTAAATAAAATTGAGCTGCTTGGAAACTGTTCACACCGCTCTAAACTAAGGCAGAGATATGTTTTTTTGTTTACATTTGCTTTATACTTATTCAGTTTTTTTATTAACTATGTAATCAATCAATGTTGTGTTGATAATATTAAAGTTATCAGCATAATAATTATAATAATCATAAAATATAATTTATTATAATATTATTATAATAAATAATATTAATGCATAATTTTTTTCTTAAATCAAATGTTTTTTACTTAACTATATTTTAACCCTTATTCCAAATTTTACATTTCTTAATAAATCTGCATTTAAAATAAATTATGATTTTTTTTATTTATTTATATATTTGAAGTAAATAATTTAATTTACAGTTGTTAGATATACATAGATATATGCTCTCTATATATCTATAGAGAGCATAAGTGTTTAAAAACGTTTTAGCTCATACTATATAGTGAATCGACATATTAATATGTATATTTCAAATTTGGAAAGGATATGACCATTTCGTAATTGGGATCATCTTTATTTTCTTATTTATGATCATTTCGCAAAAGAATGAATATTTTCAAAGAATATGATCATTCAGCTGAAATTTTTTTTTAGTAGTCTATAAAAGGAAGTTTAATAAGGTTTTTTTGACCCTAGTTGAGACCATCTCTATTTTATTATGTTTATGTTTCTTTATGATTATGTTATAGACATTTCAAGTAGCGTATTTGCCTTTATTTACTCTCGTTTGTCTACTCTACCAAGTCGAGCAGCATAAAATATTACTCAAAAGCTCAAAACTTCCATTATTATCATATTTTTTCAAATGCTGAGTTATGATTGTCTATCGTCTATAGTACATTGTTTACATGTAATTTAAAAATCAAGTGTGGAGTCCCATATAAAGCCTAAATATTAAAGATATTAATTCCATCGTATTGTAATATTGAAAAATTTAGAACATTGTAGCAAGAAATTGGTCTATCAGTTATTTACAGTGGTTTTCTTTCATTTATAGAATAGGATGTATGCAAGGTTTTTGAATATATCCTGCAGCAATAGTCATTTTATTTCAAAAAGCTTTACCAATGAAAAGACAGAACGATCTGTTACTAAGATATGTAGCTAAATATTTCTGCTAAACTTTTCAATTTTTTTTTCCGGAACGTTAGTATCGCTATAACATTTTAAGTTAATATTAGTCAGTTACAAATAATAAATCAATATATGTAGTATATATAATATTATATTGCTAGTAAAAAAAATATAATTTGTTTTTATATTAATATTAATTTTTTTTTCTAATAAATACATTTTAATAAAATTTTCTATTATTTAAGTTCTATGACTATAATACTTATTTGGATGTAAGCGTTCACACTGAAAACAATGAGACCCCTCCATCTAATAAATCGCATTTATCCCAAAATAATTCAAAGCGCCGATCTATTTCACATTCTCTAGTTGCCAATGTTGAAAATAAAGAAAAAAATACTACAGCACAAATTGAAACACAACAACAACAGCAGAAAACTACCATCACTTCTCAACCAAATGATGAGAATGTAATTGTCAGTTTAATCGATGATGATGACGATGAAGAAGAAGAAGCTCAGATAAAACAAACTGTTGTGGAAAGTAATGTTGCTCGCACCAATAAAACCAATGTTAGTGGAAATGCTAAAATCAAAGTCAGAAATAATTTAGGTGATGAGAGCAAAATTCGATCTACTAGAATACCTATTAAGATAAATAATGTTGTTTCAAATGAGAAAACTACACAAAATATGGAAAAAGATGCTGTTACATCAGAAGATCAAATTCAGGAAGAGATGCAGCAAGTTGGCAATAATAATTCTCATATCTCAGTCAATACAGATGAAGAGAATGACGATTTCGATAATCAACTTTTAATTGCACCGGATGATTCAAATAAGGAAGATAAATCAGCTAACGAAAGCATCAAATTTAAACGTCGCCAAATACGTGGCAGTGTGTATTGTGCTATTTGTAAAAGAACCTTTCAGTATTATTCACTATATCGTAATCATATGATTAAACACTCAAATGAGACACCATTTACATGTGCAGTGTGCCATAAGGGTTTTAAGTCGAAGCCATCAATACGTTATCATTTGAATACACATCACAAGGAAAGGCGTATAAAATGTGAACTCTGCGATGCTACTTACCATACACAATTTCAACTTATTAGTCATATAGTGCTTCATGAAAATGAAACAACTTTTCCGTGCATGGTTTGTGGAAAAATCATGACTTCCGAAAAGGAACGAGAAGTACATTTAACAACACATACAGAAGAACGGCCATTCTTTTGTGATTTCTGTCGAAAGCGCTTTCATAAGCGACATCATTTGTCTAATCATTTAAAACGGCATCGTTATTATCGTTGCGATTATTGCAAGGAAGAATTTCGTAGTGAGACACATTTACGTAAACCGTATGCTTGTAAAAGTTGTGGAAAATTAGAAATTTTAGATGGAAAATTAGATACAGAAAATAGATACCAACTAAACTCACGGGATAATGACGTCAGTTTGGCAAGTTCGGAAATAAATCCGTTGCAGCTTTCAGATGGAAATCAACAAACTCAAGAAACAATCGACTGTGAAGGATCTGATGAAATGGATACTTGGACTATTGATTGTGAAGATGATGAGGAAGAAGAAACTGAAATTAATGAAGCAAATTCATCAGAAACTGCAAAAAATGATGAAGAAGATGTTGATATTAGCAATTCTTTGCTAATGATGCCTAAAGATAATGTTAGATTGGATTCACCAAAATTGATGAGAGGACGTTTCGGTTGCAAGTATTGTGGTAATAAGTATTCGTATAAAAGTGGTCTTAATTATCATTTAAGAATGAAACATTCCTAAAATGGAAATTTACATATTAACATCTAATATAAAAATTATTTTTTATTTTATTATTATTTTAGTAAAATTAAGTTCTAGAAAATTTCCTAGTCAAAATTTTGAAATTATTTATAAAAAGAAAACTTTGCATTGACTGATTCTACAATGAAATTTGAAAAATTATTATATTATATGCTATGCATATAAAATACATTTAACCTGAATTATTTTAAATATTTATAGTATATTATTTATTTTCTTTTCTAGTCTCTATTCAGTAAACTATTTTATTATAATGTAATTGTTTATAAACAACAATTTTCAATAATATGTAAAAACTTTGTATTGATAATTTTTTTACTATTTTCCAATATAATTATTAAATATATTATATATATATATGTATATATTACATATATATTAATATACATTAATGATCACCTAGCATTTTTCAATTGGCTTGCTAATATCGTAAATATTCTAGAACTCTAAAACCATAAGAAATATTAATATGTTATTTTTTATTTGCAAATAAATTGTTATAGTTTATGTATTAAGAAGTATACGTAACAATTTAATTAAGATGTTCAATTTTATTTAAAATATTAATCTATATATAAAATGATATTTTTTTATTGAGACTGCTGTGAACATCTTTATTTTTTTTTTAAAGCCATATTGTTTATTTTCAGTATATATTATTTACTTTTAAATAAAGTTTTACAGGCTATATTAAATATTAATTAAATGGTTAATTTAGCTGTTCAGTTATATTTAAAAAATCAATTTGTATTTAAAATGAAACTATTTTGTTGAGAATGGTGTGAAAATTTTTACTTTTTTTAAATCTAATATGTTTATTTTCAGTATTATATCCAAAAAGTACTCAGCCCACCTTTTATATGTATGGTTTATTTGTTTTATAATTGGCTACCATATAGCTGTTATTTATAATTAATTTATAATACTTAGCTATTAACATAAATTTTATATGTACACATAATTTGTAAAAAATTCAATATATTTTGTTATTAAAAAGAAAAGGAAATAACAAAGAAATCCTTTTCCTAATATTAATGTTTGTAATGAAGAAAAAAAAAATGATGCAAATATTGTAAATGCGTTATTATAAATCTTGACTATTAAGCAATTTAAATAAATAAATTGCTTGCTTACTAATAAATTTTAATATACTTTAATGTAATTAACTAATAATTGGATCTCATGTTATAAGACTAAAACGTTTTTTCATTTCTATTTAATTTTAAATGTAATTTAAAGTCAGATTTTCAACAATATATGTAATGACATACATAATCTTAATCTCAAATTTTAAAGAAAATTGATTAATATGTATATAATAAATATTATAAAAATTGGAGTATATATAATATAAATATATTAGTATGGAATATAAATATCCATTGAATGCATCAACTAGTTTTTATATAACAAACCATATTATTTATATTTTTTTATGTTTTATTCTTTATTTATTTTTATTTATTTATTTAAATTTATTTATTTTTATTTATTTATTTTTATTTATTTATTTAAATTTATTTATTTTTATTTATTTATTTTTATGTATTTATTTTTATGTATTTATTTTTGTGTTTATTTTTATTTTATTAGACACCGTTACAGTTTTATATATAAAATATTTTTTGATCTACGAGATCCAATCTGTATTTTATTTTTATGTATTTATTTTTATTTTATTAGACACCGTTACAGTTTTATATATAAAATATTATTTGATCTACGAGATCCAATCTGTATTTTATTTTATGTGATTTTCTTTAAAAAATTTTATTGCTTAGCTATGTTTAACATTTTCTATAGCATTTAATGAAACTATTTTATTAATTAGAATGTAAGAATTGTATTACAAATGATAATTTAAGTTTTTATTAACATATGGTGTAGAAACAAAAATGTTGATATTTTGTATTTTTAAGATTTAAAGAAAAATAATGAAATTAATGTTTTAAATTTAAAAATAAATATAATTAAAATTGATGTATATTATATATTTCCAGCACACTCATTATTTTTGTTTGAAATAAGTCGAATATAATAACTATTAAAAGTATTTTAATACTAACTAAACCAATTTTAGTTTTAAAAAATACATGTTGAAATGAAATAAAAGTAAAAATATGTAAATATGAAATTATGTGTAAAATATTTCATATTAAATATTAAACATTGTTAAATACGCAAAGTAATATCAATATCAAAGAAATATCTATAATTTAAATTTATATTTTAAATTTTAAAATTAAAATATTAAAAATTGTTGTGTTGGGTGATATAAAAAGTTTTTTGGTACCTTTCTGAACAAACATTTTCTTCATTGAAAATTAATTTTAATCAAGTCTATATTGTCATTTTTTGGGTAACTTCATCATTTTATCGGTGTAGAAATGCTGTGATTTATCGGTAAAAAATTATAGCGAATTTTCAGTGAGTTTTCGATCAGCCAACTTTTTATCATTAAGAAAGTTTAATATACACCGAAATAAATGGTGGCTATGTAGTGTAAGAATTGGGGTATGTGGTGGAAGCATCAAAGTTTTCAAACCAAGTTGTTGGCAGTCATCAAATATGTTCTGCCTGCTTATCTCTGTTTGATTATTTCAAGCGCTCGAGTTGTAAGCAGTGGAGGAACCCATAAATCACTTTATCAAACTGGAGTAGCTCATAGTAAATAATTCCGTTCTAATTTAAACATTCTCTCAATGTAACCTTGCTTTCCGCGAATCTAAGCTTTGAAATTAGTTGTGGAAGGTCGCTAGCCTTTAAACATTTCCATTCCCATTGACTTCATTTTGTTGCGCTTTAGCAGCGTTTCACTAACGGTAATTACGTTCATCAAATTTCTTTCTTAATTAAGTTTGTTTTTTTTTTAATGGTTCCAAACTCGAAACTTCCACTGTTTCCTGACAACTTGTTTGTTCGTTTGAAATAATCCGATTAGTATTCACTTTTTATAGTACCCAATATATTTTTTATACACCAGTATTTTCTTTTGAAATAAATCAAATATAAGTACTATTTTAATAATAACATTTTAAAATCAAATAAAAGTAAAGAGATGTAATTATGGAATTATGTGTAAAATATTTCAAATTAATTGCTGTTCAATACACAAAAAAATAAATTAAATGTGAATAAACATAAATATTGATTGTATGCTAAATAATTATTTTTTATATTATTTAATTTATTTTAATATAAATTTTTGAAATTCATAATAATATTTATTTGAATTAAAAGCCTATTCACTAGCGGTCGAAAAGTGCATAATAGAGAAAACATCGATAAAAGTTCGTAATGCTTGAACTTAATGTCTATAAGATAAGTTAAGTTCAGGATCTATTGATATTTGTAGTTTAAAATAAATAACAATACTTATAACTGAAAAGATAATATTAGTGTACATTAATTGTTTTTTTTTGCGCTCAATCTTTATATTTCGCGTGTGAATTGAGTCTCTATATATTATTTTGTTATTGTGATTTGGCTAGAACTTAATATCTAGGTACAGAAGCTTTATTTTGCTTAAAGCCACGCTAAATTTAAACATAAATATTTCGGTCGACACTAATACAAACACAAACACACACATTCTATTTTATTCTTTATAATTCATATTTATGCCATTTAAATCATTAGTCTTTTTATTTAAATTCAATTTATTTTTACAAATTTAACAATACTTTTAGATTAACATATAGCAATTAACAATTTTAACTTGTTGCTGACTGTTATTTTTCTTACAAGCTGCATGCATAGCTGTGCTTATTAGGGCCGTGTGCGAGTTCGAGTAAATTGATGGTAAATTAAGGGAAATAGTACATTATGTCGGGATGGCAGCGAACGTTGGTATTTACCAGAATTTCGAGTAGGGTAAATTAGATAAAAATTAGGTGTTACCATTGTGAAAATTTTATTAGACGTTTAATAAATAAATTTGAAAACTTTTAACCAAAAATAATAAATAAGTGCAATAAATAAATAATTAAATATTTGCATAAGTGCAGTGCAAAACATTCCTAGGAAATTTCACTTTACTTTACTCAATTTACTTGAACTCGCACACGGCCTAGTTATGATAATTGCAAGTATAAACATAATATTTTCGTTAAATTTTTATAGTTGAAATCTTTATAATATACTTCTCCATTTATTTACAGCAATTTAAAATAAACAGAAAGTAAATGATTTGATAGAAGTTCTAATGTTTATGTACATTATTAAATACATTTAATAATATATGTACAAACAGAAGAGTATTGATTATTTAACAATAAAAAATAAAAACATAATTTATTAACTCAATTAATCTACAGCTAGTTTATGATTAATTCGTTTTAATATAAACAAAGCAAGTGAATTTGTTAATAAAACTTTAACAGCAAAGTAACAAAACTCCAGAAAAATGGGCGATTATAAAACTCAGGTAAGGCTTTGGGTCAGTTGGTTAAGGTGCGCTGACTCTGAGCTTCAACTTTGGCAGGCCATAAGTACGATTCCTGGTACATGCAGTCTCAAAAAAATCTTTACGAATACTGAAATACAAGAATTATTTCCAAGTACACTGATAATAGGTATTTGGCAAAACTCGAAACAACTGTATGGTCAGCCAAAAATTCAATTAATAAAAATAATATAAAATTAATTTTTGTTATTGTAGTTCACTACTGTTCGAAAAACCTTTTTATTTAATATATTTTACAATTGTATCAATTTGTACAGAACTTCATAATGTAGCTTTTCATATTACTTTGAAGTTTATTTTTGCAAAAATCTATGGATATGGCATCACTGATTGCCAATTTTTTACACATTCATTCATGTTTCTCTTCAACGACGGCGAACGAGCAACAACACGATTAATTATAATTTTTTGTTGAATCCGTACAGAGGCAGAGTTTTTTTTTCATTTAATTTTTCATTTTCTACTATTTGGGAAACTTGAAATTAATTTTAATGTTTCGAAACTAATAAATAATATAAAGGTTGAATATATGCTCCTAAATATTAATAAGATAAATTGAAATTTTTGCGGTAAATACAACGATAAAATTGCAAATAATTTGGTATCAAATCAGTAGACTGAAAAGAATTGAATATTCTTTGAAAGTAGTTGGGTACGAGGCAGTGAAGTGCGGCATACAATTACAGTATACGGAAAAGGCGCAGACAAAAAGCATAAAAGAGAAAAAACGCAAACTAAAAAAGGAAGGAGGCGAGAAAAGTATCCATAGAAGACATTAAGTGGGAAAGGTCAGCAGACAGACGACCGCCAGACAAAAGCGATTAAGAAAAGCGGTAAATAAAGTGTATAAAACAAACAAAACTTTAAATCCAAGAAAATAAGCAAAATATTAAAGAAGTGCGTATATGTTCGTAAATATTGTTATTGGACGTATTTATTTTGTAATTATTCACACCTCTTTTAATAGTAGTTATATAGTTATATATTTGAGGTTTTTTCTTAACTGCGTAGATGTTTCGTTTATAGTTAAAACTAAAGCTTTAAATTAAATTTTAAATTAAGATTTGTAAATTGAAGCATTAAAACAGATTTCAATAAAATATTGAAAATAATGTATATGTTTTAGATATAAAGTTTTTCTGTAAACTATGTTAAAGGCTTCATTCAATATACACTTGTATATCTGATAATAATAAAAAAACATATTTTAAAATAATTTCTATTATAAATATTTATAATATATACCATAATCTTACAACCATAAGAATTATTTCTGTGTGAATTATTTCAAGATTTTTATTAATACAACATATAACGAATATAACAATATAGTATAATTTGTATCTAGAACTATGTGTCTTAATATAGTTTTTCTAAAAAAGTCTGTACAAGATATACGTTATTTATTTATTTATACAAATCTAATGTAGTATTTATGAGTATATACATTATTTATATACTATTATATACATGATATACTATTTATACAATATATAACATATATATTTATATATGTAGTGACAGCGTTATTCCTTTATTTATACAAACCTAATGTAGTATTTTGTGATATCTATTTATACAATATATAACATATATATTTATATGTGCAGTGAAAGCTACACACTGACGGAACTACCATTTCTGTCCAGTTAAAATCTTGGTTTAAAAATTCGCTTTTGAGAGATGTTTCCATATAACCCGCTGAAACCCGTTTGTGAAGTCATTTTGAGAGGTGTCGCATGGCACTTGGTCGTCGCTGGCGACGAATGGCTCCGAGACGTAGACCCGGTCGTTCTTGGAACCAGAATGCCTGTTAAACGGTGGTTACATTATTTCAAAAATATAATTGTTTTATAATAAACATAAATTTTAAAATTATATTTATATAAATAATTATAATAATATATTATTAATTATAATTATAAAATTATATTTATGTTATATTTATAAAAAATTTCGAATTAACGACATTACGCGGTTAGGAGAGACGTCCGTTTATGGTACCGTTCATTTATTAGGGATTGCACTGTATATATTTTTATTTTAATTATTTCATAAGCACAATTATATAATATTAAACATTATTTTTAAAGTTTATGTTTATGTATATTATTACAGATAATTAAGATAATTTGAAAGTCAGAGAGCAGGGGATTAATAGAGGATTAATATCTTTAAAGTATTTGAAGTGTTATTGGATTTATCACATCGCTCTCACAAAACAATAAAAAGTGAAAGTCCACGATTTTAAATCGTGAACAGTTTCTGTTCAACGTGAAATGTTGTCATTTGCACCTCCAGTAGTTAAACGTTTATTAGCACTTAAAACAGGTAACGAAGATACGATTGAAGGCAAGTGGTCAGAGAAAGCAGTAAAAAATCTTGTTAAAAAAGTCAAAAAAAACTCTTCACTTGAGGAACTTGAACGTGCGATATCAACACAAAATTGTAATACACGTTGTGTAACAGTACCGCGCAGTAAACCCGGTGCTACCGGCGAAAGTCTACGCAAGGGTTTGCCGCATGTTATATACTGTCGTTTATGGCGTTGGCCTGATTTACAATCGCAAAATGAATTGAAATCGCTTGATCATTGTGAATTTGGATTTCATTTGCGTAAAGACGAAATTTGTATTAATCCATATCATTATAAAAAAATTGAATTCTCAATACTTGTACCGAAATCATTGCCAACGCCACCAGACTCAATTGTTGATTATCCACTTGATAACCATACACATCAAATACCAAATAATACAGAATATAATGCTGCTACTATACGTAGTGCATCATTAAGTCCGCCACAATATATGGAGCTATCTGCCCATCATCAACAACAGCATTCGCCTTTACTTGTTGGCATGAGTGCCGCTCAACAGCAACAAATGGCAACTAGTGCAAATGTTTCACAAGGAGCCTGTAATATGGATTCACAATCAAGTGTACTTAGTGTTGGCAGTAGTATTCCAAACACAGGTACACCACCCCCTGGTTATATGAGTGAAGATGGTGATCCCACTTCAGATCCTAATGATAATATGAATATGTCGCGCTTAACCCCTCCAGCTGATGCTGCACCTGTTATGTATCATGAGCCAGCATTTTGGTGTTCTATATCATACTATGAACTTAACACGCGCGTTGGAGAAACATTCCACGCATCTCAACCGTCAATTACTGTTGATGGCTTCACTGATCCTTCAAATTCGGAGCGTTTCTGTTTAGGTTTACTTTCAAATGTTAATCGCAATGAAGTTGTTGAACAAACTAGACGTCACATTGGTAAAGGTGTACGCCTTTATTACATTGGTGGTGAAGTATTTGCCGAATGCCTAAGTGATTCATCTATTTTTGTACAAAGTCCTAACTGCAATCAGCGTTATGGTTGGCATCCAGCAACTGTTTGCAAAATACCACCAGGTTGTAATTTAAAAATATTTAACAATCAAGAGTTTGCCGCATTACTCTCACAATCAGTGTCGCAGGGTTTCGAGGCTGTATACCAATTAACGCGAATGTGTACGATACGTATGTCATTTGTTAAAGGATGGGGTGCGGAGTATCGGCGCCAAACAGTAACATCTACTCCGTGTTGGATTGAACTACACTTAAATGGACCATTACAGTGGTTAGATCGTGTGTTAACACAAATGGGATCACCGCGTTTGCCATGCAGTTCAATGTCATAAAGTCTATAATTTTAATATTTTAAGTGCGGTAAACCCAAAAAACAAAAACAAAAAACAAATTCTTTAATAATAAAAGTTTTCTTAATATTAAGCATGTATTTATAGAATTAAAATGGCACAAATGAAAAATGTTTATATAATGTGCTCATATTATTGATACACCATTCATCTCACCATATCTAGTATAAGTAGTATATCTTTTTTTACACTCTGTTTTATGTATTCTGTAAAGTATCTGAAGAGATTAACTTCAAACAATTAGATGCCCAAAACAAGCATAAAATGCTCAAAATTTTCAATAACTTATTCTATGGGTGTTTCTAATGAATCATCTACAAACAAATTAGAGAAACATTGCAATGTTTTACTAAAAAAGACAAAAAATTAATAATATACGTGACTGTACCGAAATTTTAATACCGTTCACACAAATAAGCTATATACATATATATATTTTTTTTTTCGTAACATACTCACCATTTATAATGGTTTTAGTGAATCATATATGCACAATAGATCTATTCTGGTCGCAGTGCATTCTAACCTCTAATAATTATAATGGTGAATCATACCTATTATTCAGAATTTTATTATGTGTCCAAGATGCATTTTATTTCCATATTTAATTCCATATGAATACACAGCTCAATTCGTCTTTTCGGAGGTGCGAGTATATATAATTTATATTTTCCAGTTTTCTTCACTGTGTTAAAAACATCTTGACAAACTTATACATCTTCCTGAAAAGTTTTTCCATTATTTTGAATATGGAACATTGCGATTTTCCGAAATGTTTGAAATTTCTAAGGGCAATAATTTGTATTGTATTGGAAATCCATATGTTTTAAGTTATCTCTAATATATAATACATATTCCTAATTGACATAATATTAAGAAAGTCTACAAAACTAAATACTAACCATTAGAAACGTTTTAATGAAGTGCTGAAAAAAAACGATTCAGACTTAATGTACAAAGTAATATCCCAGTGTTTTTTTTTTAACAAGTTCCTTTTTTTATAATAAAAAATATGAATAAGTGAATATTGTATTAAAAAGAATAAAATGGTAGTTGTAGCTAAATACTTAGTCTTGCTTTTGCTTAAATTTCTAAAAATATACCATTATCTTCCCATAATAATAGTGATTGATATATCAGCCTCCAAAATTCCAAATAGATATAATCTAATTCAGAAATTCTGTAACACAATTTTCATATAATTTTTTCATATAATAAAAATTGCGATATTGTCTATATTATTTTATCTACACAATATTTATAATTTTATGTAGAATCTTTTTTGTTGTATTATTTTGAAACAGTTATATATAATTTTATGTATTTATTCTAAAATCATTAAAACTTGTTTTGTCATCAATTAAACTTGTTTTGTTTATATATATAATATAATTTATATTTTATTAATTTTTAAGTCTGAATCGTAAATTAAAAATATATTTTACATATTTGATTTTTTTTTCTCTTATAGTAATTCAACATATTATATATTAACATATACAAGATACAAAAAAAATATAATTTAATTAAGTGAATAAAATTAACTGATTAATAATATTAAGAAAGAACTTTTTAAATTATAAATTGAAGTTTTTTTTCTTGTATTAAACCTATTTTTATTTTAATAATTTTTTATTGCTTGAAGCAATTAATTTTTATGTTGTTATATTTGAATATAAAATGTTAATTGATTTACAATGCTTTTATATATATTTTCTTTTTTAACTTAAAAAAAAAACAATTATTCAAAATTATTAAATTATATAAAATTGTAAAGTTAAACTGGGAAAAATTGGCTACAAGCTTATATACTATTGCGTTATAAAAAGTTTATATTTATAAATATATATATAAGATGTATGATTTTAGAAATATATCAATAAATAAAATACAATTTCTTTTATTAATGTTAATTTCAATTTTTATATATATTTAATTATAATAATTTTTCGTGTGTGGATTGAGTTTATATACAATTTTAAAGTTTACAAATTTGAAAGTTTAAAAAAAAACATTTTTCAATGCTTTTCCGATTTCAATATAATTTCTATACTTTACCATGGTATAAAGTGTTTGTAATTAGTATCTTTGTGTTGAAACACACAACGTTTCTATATCGGATAACAAAATATATAAAGTGGAGAAATTTAACTAGAATAATTTATTTTTATTAAAATGAATTTTTAACTGACTAGCTTTTTCGAGTAATGGTGTGTTAAAAAAAAATTTAATATACTTTTACATATTAAAATGTCAATGAATTTTAATTAAATATTTATATTTATACAATTAAAACTTAATTCATTTAAATTACTTTATTCTATGTATTTGATTGTCGGACTTGAAGTCTTCTTTGTAAAACCTTAACATAATGTTAACATAAAGAAAAGACTTTTTTCAATAGTTAATTTTATTTATACAGTTTTTTTATATTTACAAATATTTTACTTTACTTCTTCGAATGGTCTACAAATTAAGTGTATAAATAAATATACTGTATAAATAAAATTAACTATTAAAATAAATGTTTTAGTTGTGTTAAAATTATTTATTCAAATACGTTTATTAATTTTATAATTAGGATTCATTATTCAAATTATATTACAAATATATGTCAGAACTCCATTTTATAATCTACAAAACTATGCAAATAATTTAAAATGATATAACATGCATATTAGAATTAGAAATCACACGAACCTATGTTACCTGGTATAGATCTCATTCTAAGATTATGCTCTTCCGCCTTGACGAGCAAGAGACGTTTAATTTATTTGCTTTATATTTGCTTAAAAGCTTTTTACGACACAAGCCCAATTGTACTTAGTATGAAATTTTTCTTTTAATAATTAGATGTTCTTTTACCTTAACACAATCAAAAATCATTTTCTTCTGATGCAAATCAGAATCCTTTCTTTTATCATGATAGTCAACATTTACCACACGAGTCTACTCGTACCTAATATAAGATTTCTTTTATCAACTTTTATCAGATGAAACTGATATATAACCAAATAATTCGTCCGTCACTTCTATATGGTTGTGTAGCGTTTAGCAAAGCTTCAAACACTACTATGCACCAGTTAGAAATTGCACAAAGCCATGCTCTGAGAAGACTTTTCAAAGTTTCTTGGTACATTAGGACGAATGACATCCTCAGGGACCTCAAGATTGACCCCATCAAAAAATACATAAAGGATAGAGCCCTAAAATTATTTGCGAAATCTGACAGACTTACTAACACCGCGTTATCAAATCTCAGAATGGTTACAGGCTCCTCGGGGAGGTATGCAGATCTGCGGTCAATTATTGTTTAGTCTGATGAAGTGATAAACAATAATCCAGTCAAGGCGGATTAACCTCGCAGTTAATAGAGAGTAAAAGTGCTCAGGTGCACTGACTCAACTAGCCTCAACACAATAAGATGATATTTTGAATTATGATATTCAAAAACTATATAATTTGCTTAAATTATTATTGCCAGAAATGCTTCTATTAATATTGACAAAAATCATTTATATCTGATGCAGATTTATTTTTCTCCTTATTTTAAAAATTTCAAGATTATTGTCGGTAGTCTTTAAACTTAAAATCGAAGTTCTATATTCTTTTTTATTGAGTTTTTTTTAAATTTAAAATCCTAATATTACAGTAATTTCTTTAACATGTTTTTATTATTAATATTGAAATAAGTTAATGTTTCCTTTAGCGTTAGTATTTTAATCTTTTAAATGAGATTTCATATGTCCATATAGACCCGCGCTTTGTGCGAATGCCTTATTACAGAGATGACATATATAGGTTTTTACATTCAAGTGTATTTTTAAATGCTGATTATAATTTGATTTACGTTGAAATTTCATATGACATTTATCACATTCATAGGGTTTCAAATCTGTATGTGATAATTTATGATCCTTCAGTTGGGATTGATTGAAGAAGCACTTATCGCAGTGATCACACTTGAAGTCTCGTTGATTGTTGTGCCTTTTCATATGCGCCGTTAGATAACACTGAGACGTTAGCACCTTTTCGCATATAGTGCAGGTATATTTTTTTGTATCCATATGTTCCATTTTCATATGTAGACGACGTGAATGCATTGAATGGAATTGTAATTCGCAATTTTGACACTTGTATAGCTTATCACCGGTATGTAAGCGCTTATGTACTGCTAAATAGTTTCGAAATCTAAAAGCCTTGTTGCAAATTTCGCATACGAATGGTTTCTTATTTGTATGTGTGATGCGATGTATTTTCAATTTATTGAATTGTCGAAAACGTTTACCACACTCCTCGCATTGAAAGGGCATTTCTCCAGTGTGTATCATTTTGTGTATACGTAAATTATAAAGATCATTGAAAGCTCTATCGCATATATCACAATAGCCTGGAGTACGTTTTTTCTTCTTTTTTAATTTATCTGAAGTTTTATTAAGTTCCTGCTTGCAAATGGTTTTTTGATTGTTTATAAATTTTATATCTAACATATTTTGATAAGATCCTGCTTTATCAATTGGATATGTACTTTGGTATATGGTTATAGAATCTACTGACTTATTTTCATTGTCGTCGATATTTTCGTCTTTTTCAGTTTCCGCGCAATTATAATCAATATTTTTTATTTCTGAAGTTGTATTTGTTGACGAATTTATTGACTCACGTATATTAAGTTCTTCCATTTCATCAAGGGTCTAAAGGTATAAAATAAGAGAGAATACTTATTAGTATAATTTTTTAATACATAACATTGTTTTAATTGTATATCAACTAGTTTTTGTGATTATTAGTATATATGTATCTTGTTTTATTGATTGATTAGATTAGTTTTGAGGAAGTTTTAATGGAATGATAAATATTTTAAACTTTTTCATGGACAAGTGCTTGATATGAAATAATGCATATTATGATTTTGATTAACAATGTTAATAATAAACCAAGATTGTCATAACTTAAGAATTCTCAAAATCCAACACGTGAACTATAACACAATTTTGTGATTACAATCAGTAGACATTTAGCTATGACGACTAAGCACCATTTATTACTCTCATTAGAATTTGATTGACTTCAAATCAAATTCAAATCAAATTAAGAATGATAGAAAAACAGCAAGCTATATAAAAAAAATAAGAATAAGTTTCAGAAACGGTCGGGTCAACTTTCACCAGAAACCTCTGGTTTCTACAACAACAGAAGTAATTTTTAATTTAAAACATGACACATCTCATTTATAAAAAATATTAATTATTATTACACTAAATATTAATTCCATAAATTATCTTTTGTTAAAGCTATTCGCAACTAGATATAAAAGATATTAATTATGAATATACAAAAGACTAAGTTCCATAGCTTAACTTTTGTTAAAGTTATTTGTAATTAATTAGTTTGAATTAGTTTGTTATAGCTTGAATGGTATCACTTTATCTTTTGTTGTTGTAATTCAACTAAGAACCTATTTTTGAGGGTACCTCATCAATAACATTATTCTTTAACTGTTTAACCCGATGTAGTTTTTGACTTTCTCTAATATTTCTCATTGTCTCTCCGAACGACGATGGCTCCAGAATGTGCACCCGGCCATTCCAAGTACCAGGTTTGTAGATTTATGGAACATATATTTTTATTGGTCTTATTTTCTCATAACAAATTTATTTCAGAACTTGCATTTTGATCAAATGTTAGTAATAGTAATAGTCATTACTATATAGACTAAAGACTAGTAGAGACTATTAGTTTCAAATAATTTTTGTACAGAGTGCGAACATTTTAAACATAAAAAATAGTGTAATAAAAAATAGGGGCCTTTATTTGTGTTAATCAACATATAAATTAAACATTTGAAATTTATTATATATTAAACTAAGTGGTTTTTGTGAATGTTAATTATTTATGTAAATAAATAAGTAATTGAAAGCAACAAAGGCTTCCCAAATAGAAAAGGTAACGCAACCTTATCACATCTTTTATTACTAATGATCGATAACTTATAATATTGTAGAATCTAAGATAATATATGAAATATGTCATTGTTTTCATATTTAAGTTGTACTCAGATTGAATTCGGTAAACTTGTTTATAATTGAATAATTTGTTTTTATTTAGTAATTTTTGAGAAAAATAAATAATAACTCAAAATTTACCGTTTACTCAGGAACGGAGCTTGATCTGAATAACCCTAATGTTAATAAATTATAAACATGATCGTAATATTTAGTAATGGAAGCAGTAGTAATTCTTTATTAAAATCACAATTTTTGGTTACAAATTATGACTATAAGCTTATATAAAATACATTGCAGTCAATAGTTTGTCTAATTTATTTTAATTAACATTTTAAGCAATTTTTTTATACTTAAATAAGTTTCTCACCTTATCAAGTTCGTTTATAAACTCTGTACTATGTTTTTCAAAATTTATTTTTTCCATTCGTTGTATTTCTTTACTTAATAGATGATCCAATCTATTCATTTCTTTACTACTACTCGAAGAAGCTGTAGTCCTCCATTTGTAATTATTATGTTCAAATAATAAATGTTCATGATAACTTTCAATATTATCAAAATCATTTTCTACGAAACTACAAAGTGTACATTTATATAATAAATTTCCAAAACTGTTCATAACAATTTCACCACATTTTTGTGGACCCGCTATTATATCATCAATTATGTTATTTTCATCATTAAATAAGTTTTCTAAAAGATTTATTTCATCAATAACATTAATTGTGATTTGTGAATCTGGATTAAATAATTTTTCTAATTCGTAACAATTTGTTTTGATTTCCATTGTATTAATAATTAATTTTTTGAACTACAACAAAGTAATATAAATTATAATGTTAAACGCTAAGGAGGTTCCGAAAATACTAAACAATATGTACACTTTTAATTTTCAATATATTTAATCGATTAGATAAAAATTTTAATCGCAATTTCATGCTAGTAATTTTTTATTTTAAACAATCAATAAAAAGTATAAACATATTTTATCATAATTGTTTTTATATAAAAATACATATATGTAGGTAGAAATTAGATAAAATTAGCAGAATGTATAAAGCATAATATAAGCTAAAAGTAACGATACAAAGTTTAAATATATATGTACATATGTTATATTTTCATATATATTTATTTTACCTTTGCAATATAATTTTCTTTCTATTACTCATTAATATAGTGAGTAATAGTACATTGTTGTTGTGGAGATTCTATTTATCTTCTGAATTGTCTTCATTTTTTTGAGCAATGTCGTGCTTCTTTTTAAGATGCATATAAAGTGCTGGCCTCTGATTGAAACCCATTTGACATATTCTGCATTTGTATTCCTTTTTGTTTTCATGCAATTTGATATGTGCAACGAGTGTTTTACGACGCTGGAAACCTACATTACAAAATTTACAAATATGGTTACGTTCTTCTGGTTGATGAGTTAACATGTGCGAATTTAATTGTGCACTGTTATAAAAGCTTTTTGCACAGACATCACACTTCTTGGGTCGTGTATTAGTGTGACGTTTCATGTGTTCTGTTAGCAATCCAGCGGTAGCATAAGTCAAACCACAAACAGTGCACATAAATGGACGAGCACCTTTATGACGTTGTTCATGTAATCTTAATTCGGCGCGTGTAAAGAATTTTTTTGTACATAGACTACATGATAACGTCTTTTCATCAGTGTGCCGTTTTTTATGTTGACGTAAATTAAATGCTTCCTTAAATGCCGTGCCACAAATATCACATTTATATTTTTTTTCTGTTATATGAGATCTAGCGTGGGCATACATTTTATTTCTCATTAGAAAACTTTCATTGCAGTGTTTACAGTAATATTTTTTGGTATATATTAAATGTGTCTTATTTTCTATTTTTTTTGCTTTAATATCTTGGTTTGAAATTTCTTTGGCATTATTAACATTTTCGTATAACGAAACCTCCTCCTTATCCTTTTTAGAAATACATTAAAATAATAAGTAATAATTTTATGTTTAGTTACTTTTACTTACAAATACAAGAGTTGAGTTGGAAAGTTCTTCGTTTGACTCGAGTTCTTCATTTGTTGGATCAAACTGAACGCGATTTTGTAGCTCGGAAGGAACTGGTGGACGGCAACTTGTTTTAAAGGTTGTTGAACTGCACTTGTAAGGCGACTCTGCTGCTTTTGGTGCAGCATTACTGATAAATTCAAATTCTTCGTCAGTTGAACAATTATCTATTTCTTTTTTTACATAGAATTCTTCTTCCTCTTCTTCAGTTAAACAATTATCCACTTCTTTCTTTATGCGTTGCTGCATATCTTCAGTTATGACCGAAGATTGATCTTCTATTATATCTTCAACATTCAAACTGATGTCCTCTAAATATTCTTCTTGGTAGAATTCATTTTTATAACCTTCAGCGAAGTCGTCATCTGAGATAAATAATTCTTTAAGTTCTATGTTTTGAAAATGTGTTTTTGTTAAATGCGTCTTCATATCGTCAAAATTGTTGGATATAGCATCACATACTGAACAATGAAATTTCAATGTTTTATTCTTTGTTAAAAATATCTCACAGCAACGACACTCATAAATATCGTTGAAATTTAATATTATTTCATGTTTGGTGTCCTGTATTTCTTTTTCAGAGAAGTAATTGTGCACCACAATATCACTTTCCATTTCTAATTTTATACAATAATTAGCGTTAATTTAAGAAAAGCAATCAATTGCTGCTATTAAAAATAAACAAAAACAGAGCAGCTGTTTGGTTCAGTGTTGCCAGTTACTCTAAGTTGAAATAAAAATACATCCATGGAACCACGAATTCATTAAATTCTTTTTGTTTATTTTTGAAAAATATTTTATGAAAACAGTGTTTATAAATTACAGTAATCATTTTTATTTAATAAGTTTTTATAAAAAATATTTTTTATGAATAATATGTATTTATAATTATTTAAGTTTTTGTACAACAAAATTCGTTTAAAAAATTATCTGCTGTTAAATTATTAACAATATAAGAAAAAAATATAATAAAAGGCTAACAAAACATGTTAATTCCTTTGCAAGAAATCTTGCACTTCTATCCATTACTTCCCACCTAAAAAGAGCTGACCCCATCTAGTATTAATTAATATTCAATAGCTTGAAGTAAAAATCGCACCTCTCTTTTTAGTAATCTGATAAAGTTGAACCGCTTTCCTAAAAAACCACCCAACATTCATTCTAATGAAATTTTACCCATTGATCTAAGTGAGGTTCGTGATATAGGATTTACTTATTTTATTTTCTTTTATACAATGTATAGTTAAAATAAAAATTTGTAATATTAATATGTAATAAAAAAAACAAAAAAAAAAGTTATTAACTGAAATTAATTGTTTGTGAGAAACTTTTGTTCATGGTTTATAAAACTATTAAAAATTGACATTTTTTAATTTTGTAAATAATTGTCACACTTTAACTAATAAAAAATAATAATTCAATCACTTTGTATACGTTTGAGCGTTATAAATGGTATTTGTCAATAGCGTTAAATATAAAAAAATTCATTTAAAAGGTTTTATGTTCTACTTACCTTTTACAGTTTTTAAATATCAAAGTATAAATGGAAAAACAAATGATTGAAAGATACCATTCAAAGCTATTAAAACTATTAAATGTTACACTTTTCGACCTGTTTCAACTTTATTAAATTAATTCTATACATATATTAAATTGATTTAAAAAGACTGTTTAATTTGTAATTATTGATAACAGAATTTATATAGTTCCAATATTCATTATCCATTTACGTAGTTTAAGCTTTACTATACAATAAATGATCATTGCACTTTGTTTTTGAAACAAACCATAGTGCTATTCTACTAAATTGTTAATATCACACTACACGGTTATGTGAAAATTAATAAAATATTTATAAAATTCATAAAATGCAGAATAACACAATCTTTATAATGCTAACCAAAATTAAAAACATATCTACCGTATAGTCAGTAATTACATTTTATTGTTAATTAAAGCAAAGATTTTTAATTATATACATACAATAAAAAAAAACATATCTCAAAATATAACAATATTTCAGTTATTTCATTCATTAAATTATATTAGCTAAATTTGATAAAATATTATTTTAAAATTAATTTTTAGCCTAATCACTCATTTTCTAGTAAGTCCACGAAAGTTTCTTTTGAATCGCCTTCATCAACAATTTGGACAATTTGCATTCCCTCTGCCTGCTTGCGTTTTGTATTATTTCGACACTGGATTGAACGTTTATGTGCATCGAAATAACCAATTTCTGTAAATTCTTCATTGCATATATTACATTGAAAATGTGATTGATTAAGATGTAATTCTCTACGATGTCTGGCCATTTTATGTGCATCTCTACATTCCATTCCACAGAATGGACATACAAGCATGCGGCGATCACCAAGATGTACATTACGAATATGTTCTTTCAATGCAAAATTTTTGTAATAAGCCTTTGGACAGTGCTCACATTGAAAACGTAACTTTTTCTCATGCGTTGATTCACGGTGCCGTTTAAGCATTGTGTTCTGCGAAAAAGTTTTGCCGCATATTTCACATATATGATCTTTGGCCTGATGGCGACGTTGGTTATGTACACGCAGGTCTTGTTTTGTAGAAAAGTACAATTTACATGGTGAACAAACATAAGGTCGTATACCCATATGACGGCGTGCATGTCCAGCCAGATATTTGTAATCTTTGTAGGTTTCTGTGCAGTAAATACAAGCATAACGATGTCCATCTGCTGTTAAATGAGTTTTAAGATGTACTGCCAATTTGGACTTATGCATAACATCAGGACATATACCGCATTCGACTGGTAATTTTGCATCATCATCCGCACCTGACATAGAAAATTCTACAATTGGTGTATCATCGTGATCGATTTCTACAATTGTTGCTATTAGTTCGTCAAAAAGTACATAGCGTCGTGGACCGTTGAGTAATACTTTTCTTTTTGGTGGTGTAGGTGGAGATTCATCAATAACTTCAGATAATGAGCCTATGCTTTCCTCTTTAAAATCTTCTACTTCAACATTTTCGGTCTTAATTTCAAAGATTTCATCGGAATCCATTTCGATTATTTCACTAACTGGCAACAATTCCATATCATTTTGGACTATTACACTTTTTTCCTCGCATTCTTCCAAAATATATTCTTCGCCAACAATTTCTTCAACTGTATCATCTTTAACAAATTCATAAACGACATACTCTATGAGACCTTCGTTATTTTCACTCATTGTTACAACTTTGCGTACTTAATATTTTTGTAAAATTTACTAATATTTTGCGTGCTTTTTATTTCAACAGCGTCAGCTATGAATATACGCGACAATACAACCATTGGACTATTCACAATAGAAAAAATTTTGACGTTTTCAATAGTGATATATACGTATAGAATTAAACTGATTACTTTTATTGTGAAAGCAAATAAACTTAACTTAATTTAAAAATAAAATAAAATAAAAAAATAGTAGGAATTAAATTTTACAATTTTCAATTTGATTATGCAAAAAATATTAAATTGAGAGAGTTTCTGAGAGCGAGCTTGCATTTTGTGCTGTATAAAACTGATTTGTAAAATTTGTTAAAGTAAATAATATATGTGTAAATAAGTTTGTATATAAATTAGTATAAAAACTATTAACACTTATTTTTATATGCTGGTGAAAATTTGATTTTATAGCAAAATTTATTTGTGAAATATTAAAAATATTAAATTTATATTTACAATGTATATAAAATTTCACTATCTCAAAGTGTGAATAGTTCTTTATTTTTCATTTTATTCAATAAATTGTTACATTATATTATTATATTTTAAAAATCAATGTATTTAAATAAATAAAGAATTAGCTGATTACGCTTCTAATTTTAATATTATAATATTTTATTATAATAATTTGGTTTTTTTGATGGCTAATTGGTTGATATTAAAATAATGAAATTTTTAAAAATATTTTATTTGTTTTTAAAGGATTTTACTTTAACTAAATCATCATCATCACCGATAGTCGAAATATCGGTTAAAATACCAATTGTTACAATTATATTATTACGAATAGGCCGTAAAAAAACCAAATTATTATTAAAAATTTTTTGGTCATTAAAACAATACATTTTTTTTATGGTAATATTATAAATATGCTACAATTATTTAATTTATGATATGTTATAAAAGATTATAATAATTAATATTCAAAATATGATACGTTATAAAAGATTATAATAATTAATATTCAAAATACATTATAAAGATTTTAGGGTTAAGATATATACATATATTAACTACAATATATTTGAATTAACAACATAAAAAACAAAAACTTAAAAATATTACTAAATAAGATTCAATTCAAATTATTTCAAATCAATATATTTTTAAAATCGAACATCACAAATAGTTGCTAATAATTGTAATTACTAACATATGTGTTGCTATGTGGGCGTACCTGGGAAATCGGAATAGTGCAAGTAAATTTTAACACGTTATCAAATAGATATTTTTTAAAGTGTTTTTAAAAAAACGGTTTAAAAAACCTGTAGTATAAAAACAATTTACCTTAATTTTTTTTTGAGAAGCTTTTTTCAAAAATATTTTGTTTAGAATATATGACACGAATTTAACACAATAATGCTCAGGAAAATGATATTATGGTACAAGACAATTTTAGATATGGTCAAACTAATTAAATTATGTTAACAAATGGATTTATCATCCATTTTTAAAATAATAAATTATAAATGTAAAAATATTAAATTAAATACAATAATTAAGAAGTAGTAGCAACCAAAAAATTATTATCTTATATTAATTATATAATTATTAATTAATTATGTTAATATTAACAATATATATTTATAAGAATTTTCAGTTATTGAAATATGATAATAAATATTTGTTGTCGTTAATATTAACAATGCTGTTGAGTAAATAAGATTAAATATAGTAAATAACTTAAAAGTAAATAAGTTAAAATGAGCTTTCAGCCATTTTTAATATTTTGTATATCCAAGTAAAAGAAATATGAATAATAATGACTTTCTTGAAAACAAGGATTCATATTTAAAATGCAATGAATTCTTATAATTAGAACACTTTTTCATTTACAAGTCTGTTTATACCAGATCGTAAACATTGTCAAATAACTACGATTGCTTGTACAGAAAAACATCATTAGAATTGATTAACGTTTTTATTTCGATATTTATTTGACTTTAAAAATCTGAATATTTTATTTGAAAATTATGAGAAAAAGATTTGAAAAATGATTCTTGTTATATGTGGAAATCAACTTATTATATAATATTTCCTCATCAATATATTATAAAACAGTTATAGATCGTTAAAAATTAGAGTAATCTAATTAAGATGTTAAAAAAGACCACATAATTAGGTTTTATTTTATAATGCTAACGATACATACATATTTATGAAATATTTACTTACTCAATTTATAACAGCTTATTCAAATTATAAACTCAAAAAATCGGAACTAAGACTAACTGATTTATTCGATATTAGTCTTCTTTTTATTTGTTTCTAGTTAGTACATCTCGAGTATCGTAACTAAATCATGTTACCACAAATACTATGCTATACAGCTACTTCATGTATTGTAATTTGATTAATACATTTTCCGTTGGTTCACGTTGCTTGTTACTCTCTTTCACGGTTGGTATGGCGCGTAAGGTTTTCCATGCTCTTTTTAAGTCCATCAGCTTCTTTCCTCAACTGCCTTGCAGATAGTTGATGGCTTCAAAGCTTAGACTCTGCGTTAATACACATTTACACTTCGAAGCGTCTGGTTGTGCGCCTCTTGCTTTCTTTCTGAAAAATTTTCATTCATCTTGTTTTTGTGCGATTTACTATTGCTATACGCAGTTGTTCGTTTTGGTTGTTTTTATTGCGTGCGGTACTTTTATGAGGCACCGGTCGGGTTCCGTTTTTCCTGGTAACAAGTGCGTTTATGGTGGTCATTTTTATTTTGCTTTACTCGTACAGGTTAAAAATGCTACAAGCCGTGTAATATATTTAAAAGTAACCTTCAGATTTAGAATTTTGGCTTTAGTGTGAAATATTACGAAATAGTTCATTTTATATTAAAGTTGATTTTTTGAAAATAACAGTTAAAGTGCCGTTATCCTTATGAAAGTTAAAGTACTTCAAGTATGTAATAATTAAATTAAATACATACATACATTGTATGTTGTTGAGAATTGTTGTGAATAAATGAAAATTAAAAATGTGATTTAAAAAAATTTAATTATAAAACAAAGTTAATTAGAAATATTAACAATAATAAATAATATTGAAGCAGTTAAAAAATTGACGCTTACACACATACATATTTATCAATGGTTACAGGTAAAAGTTTTTATAAATTTTAAATTAACTAATGCATTTCATACTACAAACTTTTGCTAAAATAAATATATAATCATATTATTTATTTTTAAAATTAATTATGGTAAAATCAATCAGAACAAAGTTTAAGTTCTTAAAAAAAACTGTTAAACTTAAATTCGTATGCACAAATTAAGGGGCACGGCAAGGGTTGCATATTGTTCAACTGTCGTAAAATGTAAAAAACGGCACAATTCTGTATGTGTAGAAACTTGTAATGTTTTTAATATACATATATTTCTATCAATAGAAAAATTATAAAAATACAATAATTTTATAAACTTACAAATGTTTAAATACATTGTTACAATGTTTTAATAATTTAACGGAATATATGTTAGAGCGCCTCGTTTATTTAAAGTATAAAAAAAAGATAGAATAATTGCAGTCATAGACTAGACTAGATTTTTATAAGTTATAGAGAAATAATAATAATAAATATAATAAATTATATTGTATGATATTTATTAGTTCATTTATATTTTAATATTAATGTGATTATTATTTTTTTTAGTTTTTATATTTGTTATTGGACTTAGGTCGTTTATTTAACACATAAATTTATAAAAATGTTGATCTAGTTGATCGAAATATCTGTAATATAAATAATTTTGTATAAAAATTAAAATATAACTAAATATTTAACACAGTTTAAAAAGAGTGACTTTTTTTTTATTTAAAAAAACATTTTTATAAATTTATGTGTTAAATAAACGACCTAAGCCCAGTAACAAATATAAAAACTAATTAAATATTGGTCATAATAACAATTTAGTTATAGAGAATTTACTAATAATTATGGTTTTAATATTTTGTTGGAATTAAAATACTGAAAAAAATATAACTAATTGCAATTCAAGAATTATATGTATATAATATAATATATACATATATATATATAATATATATATATGCATTATTAAAAGTATATGTTGCATAAGATTTATATATGTTGTTATATGTTGGCTTGGATTTTAAAAGTTTGTTTGCATTGCAAATAATAGGCGACCGAACACATATCATTTTGCCTATAAAAACCAGAATGTCTTTCATTGAATAGTTACTAATTGCATACGGAGACAAGAACTTTCAACTTATCTTATTAAGATGATAACGCAGATTATGTTGTCTAGTTAAGTAAACGGATAACAACTTTACTTTTGTCCTTAGTGTAACTATTATCTAAAATATTACAATAGTAGCGCCTCTTTTCGATACCTATCTGCTAGCAGAGTTTATTTGTCTACCCAACTATTACCACAAAAAAAAAAATATGTTGTCACAGGATACCACTTCAAAAGATTTTTTTTCTACTAGAAATATTTTATTTATCTTAGCCATTTTGCTCTACAGTCAAAGAGAAAGGAAAAACTTTAATCACAATCGTTTTTGAGTTACCAAAACATTTTAATATACAATTGTATTGTTAATTATATTATATAAGAAATCAAACTATATCTATAGATCATATAAATTTTTTTAATAATTGTAAATACAATAATACTTAATTATATCAGAAAATTTATTTTTTGTATTAATGTCGTTAGTCTCAGATGTTGCTTACAAATAATTCAGTGAGATCAGTTGTATCCAATTCCTTTTCGCGAACGTTGCTTTATTATAGTATTATTATTTCTTTTAAAATAAGACATCCTCAAATAGGTTGTAGACACTCAACACGGTATTGTTTCCACTATCATATATCATCATATTGGGAACAATTAATAAATATTTTATATTATTTTATATGTTTATAAGCCATTTTTCCCAGAGAAGAGTTGTATAATAATAGAATAGTTCTTCAAACTGATCGTGTAAATCCTGCATCCATATCTAAATATGTAATATTTATTTTCATTTGTCCCAAATAATTTCAATTTTGTTGCTATTTTTTCTCGCTACATTTTTAATGAAGTTATATTATATATATTCCTAGAGCTAAGTGGTG